GTAGAGTTTTATATTAATTTGAAAAAATCGCTTCATAGATTACCAATTCGAAAGTTCCGAGAGAAATTTTATAACATTTGTTTACAAGATGGCGACGATGTTTCTATTTTTCAAAAAGTAGAATTACTCGATGTTTTTAAAACCCCGCTAAAATTCTTCTTAATGCTCCCCCTCCCTCGAGTTTCACTCTTCTAGTAAGTCGACCTCAAGTTTCCGTTAAGCTTCCTCACGTTACCATCATCGCCTCTGTACCTTTTAAATTATAATGTGGAGGATGCTTTTCATATTTTCTAGAAAGCGTTATTTCAAAAGCACTCAGCGCTTTTTCAAAGATCGGCCGCCTTTTAAATCGTAATGTGGAAGGGTAATTTCTACCAAACCAATAATACGTGTGAATTTTCGTACGGTCCTCTTGAAACGCTAAAATCTCGCACTGAACGATGACGTCCTTTTTTTGTGACGCAACTTTACCACCTGTTTCGGTGGAAATGTATGACACGTTTCCTTCTTTAAACACCAATTGCACGTGTAGAAATTTGTGGTCAGCAGCAATGGAATGAATGCTTTGTTCATTGTATCTATTGTAATTGATTCCAATTGCTTTGATTCAATTCGTTTTAATCACAGATAATCCATTAAACTTACAATGTCGTGCATTATCATTTCCTGAAATGATAATGGAGAGAATACAATCTGAAGTTCAGCGTTTGATAATGACAATAACTAATTATGAGAATCTCTATTATATTTTACAAAATAAAGTATGCACATTTTTTTGCACTTGAGCGCAATTCCAAACAAGTTAAAAAGTAATCGTAAACGATTTACATAAAGCGCATTTCCACTTGCATTCATTTCCCATTTGTAAGATGCAACTTCTGTTAAAATCGTAAAAATTCGGCCACAAATATGAAAGATAGCGTTGCACATGGGCAATCCATTGTTGACGTGCTACTTCAATTTCAGTTTATGAGAAGAATTTCATTTTAATGCTTTTCTAAATAAGAAAGTTGGAACTGCGCATGCGCAAACCTAAATTTTAAAACTAATTTACTATAACTAACTAATAAACTTCTTCTTTCCTTTGTTCCAAGCGCCTAAGTATCAAATTTCACTTAAATAGTTCCATAGATAAAAAATTTGGCACGGCGCATGCGCAAAATAAAATTTTGAAACTGGCGCTAGATTTTCCTTTATTCCAAGTGCCCATGTATCACATTTCATTTAAATTCTTCCATAAATAAAAAAGTTGGCACTGCGCATGCGCAAAACCAAATTTTGAAATTGGCGTTTGATTTTCCTTTATTCCAAGTGCCTATGTATCAAATTTCGTTTAAATTCTTCCATAAATAAAAAGTTGGCACTGCGCATCGCGCAAAACCAAATTCTGAAATTGGCGGTTGATTTTCCTTTATTCCAAGTGCTATGTATCAAATTTCATTCAAATACTTTTATAAGTAAAAAAGTTTGCAATTCGGTTTATAAATGGTCGAGATGCGAAAGGGCACTGTGAATTTTGAATCGATTCGATTCAACTTTTGGCGTTGCGTATTATATGGCTAAAGCTATGCCCATATTGAATTTCATGCAATGGAAAGGGCACTGTGAATTTTGAATCGATTCGACTCAACTTTTGGCATTGCGTATTATATGGCTAAAGCTATGCCCATATTGAATTTCATGCAATTCAGTTCATAACTAACGGAGATGTAAAAGCGATCGAACATTTCTAAACAAAAGTTATCGTTCACACGGACAGATAGATGGACAGACAGACAAAGGAACAGACGGAGAGACCAACCGGCAGGCGACAGATAGCAATGCAAAATTATAAAACGATCTCTAGGATCGTTAATAAACGGCAAAAGTGTAAAATTATGGAACATGTAAAAAACGGTTTTTGGTTTTTTTTTACAATAACTTTTTTTGTAAGCGGTACAGAAAAAATTCCTTCCTTGGTACAAGACTCGACACCATAACGAACCAAATAGCGAAAAAAGTAGAACAATAGCTCTTAAGATAAAAAACTAGTAGCGTCGCAAAGTTACCGGACGGACGGACGGACAAAGTGGCCACAATAGCGCATTTTTTTTTTATTTTTGTGGAAATGCGCTAAAAAAGAAAGATGCACGTAACAATTTTGTTCGATTATACCCCAGATAAAACAGTTTCATTTGTGAACTGTTCCTTAATAAAACATGGGCCTTTGTAGAAACTCAATTAGACGCTCTTAGTTTGAAAGAAGTTAACTATGTCATTGCCTTTTCTTCTTTTCTTGTAAGTTATGCAGTCCATCATTATATACTGCCTGTTGCTACCAAAAAATCGCACACAGAATTTTATGTTTTTAGCAAGTAATTTTGCAGCTTCGAAAGACGTAAACTAACCTCAAGAGTTAAGGCACACGGAAAACCTCGACATTTTTAGACTTTTTTTTCGTTTTTAGCTCAAAAATCACAAAAGTTTATTAATAGTAGATTACAGCGTAATTTACACGGGATATAGTAAAACCCCTTAGACCATATAGTAACCCTCATAAGTTTGTGTCAGAGAGCACTTCCCAATAACTATCATAATTCATAATATAAACAGTGATCCAGTAAGTCGAAAACTTGCCAGCAAATAATTGCTACAATAAAATCTTGCACGTCTAAGCAAGTTTTGACAGGAAATTGACATTTATTTCAACCATGTTGACAGTTGGTGTGCAAGTGTTGTGCTACATGGAGGGAAAACGTGTGTGGTCAAAAGAAGACATGTCTTCGTTAATTAACACTTGAAGAATTATGGCAAATCAAATACAAAATCTACTGTATATACGCACATTCAAACATTTGCCGAGAGAAATTGCTTTTTACAATTTGTTTGTTTTAAAGCTTGGTTGTACTGTTTGTCAATATGAAATATCAAATGTATTGATTAAATGTATTAATGGTAGACGCGAGGGTAGACGTTTATTAATAAACTTTTTTTTTCGTCGACCTCTCGATAACAATATAAATTACTCCTTAGTGACGAGTACAATGATGAAGCTTATTAATCGTTAGCAACCATTAATGGTTAGCAACCAACCATTATACGTTAGCAACCATTAATCGTTAGCAACCACTTATACATAACAACCATTTTATTAAAGGGAAATGACAATTATATAACAATTCACTTTCGGCAACAGCTGAGAACTTCCATCCACCTAACCATTTTAATCTCGGTTTTAATGTAGTGAGATCAGCAGCCAGTACGGTCGCCAAACGATCTCAGCAAAGCATATAATGTATGTATGTGTAGCTCCTCGGATAAGGTATTGTTAAGGTATTCAGTTACTTTACCTTCAACATTGAGTACGTCGACCACAGGGATGAACATTTCCATATCTTTCTTTCACTGTTAATACACGTAGGTACTTTAGTACAGTTGCAAAAGAATTAATTACATTCTAATTTCACATACCTTTTCAAGGTAAAATGTCAACGTGACATTTTCGGAAATATCTCCTTACAATTTCATTGTATTCCATCAATTGCCGAACTGATCGAAACCGTTCTAATAAGTTTCTTTTGATTTGAGTGGATATAATCGTCTCCGCAGCAGAGCAAGCAACATAATCTTCCACTGCGATTACGAGGACTGACGGTACAGCATAAAACAACACATTACTATAGCAACGACAATAGCTGTAATTTAGTGAAAAATCGTCGGAGCTCATAATTTCGTTTGTAATTTCTTGTAGTTGAATTTAAAATTACCTACCCCAGTGAAGTCGACGAAAAAACGTAGTATGCAATTGCCCATGTATCACATTTCATTTAAATTCTTCCATAAATAAAAAAGTTGGCACTGCGCATGCGCAAAACCAAATTTTGATATTGGCGTTTGATTTTCCTTTATCCCAAGTGCCTATGTATCAAATTTCGTTTAAATTCTTCCATAAATAAAAAAGTTGGCACTGCGCATGCGCAAAACCAAATTTTGAAATTGGCGTTTGATTTTCCTTTATCCCAAGTGCCTATGTATCAAATTTCGTTTAAATTCTTCCATAAATAAAAAAGTTTGCACTGCGCATGCGCAAAACCAAATTTTGAAATTGGCGTTTGATTTTCCTTTATCCCAAGTGCCTATGTATCAAATTTCGTTAAAATTCTTCCATAAATAAAAAAGTTGGCACTGCGCATGCGCAAAACCAAATTTTGAAATTGGCGTTTGATTTTCCTTTATCCCAAGTGCCTATGTATCAAAATTCGTTTAAATTCTTCCATAAATAAAAAAGTTGGCACTGCGCATGCGCAAAACCAAATTTTGAAATTGGCGTTTGATTTTCCTTTATTCCAAGTGCCTATGTATCAAATTTCATTAAAATACTTTTATAAGTAAAAAAGTTTGCAATTCGGTTTATAAATGGTCGAGATGCGAAAAGGGCACTGTGAATTTTGAATCGATTCGATCCAAATTTTGGCATTGCGTATTATATGGCTAAATCTATGCCCATATTGAATTTCATGCAATTCAGTTCATAACTAACGGAGATGTAAAAGCGATCGAACATTTCTAAACAAAGTTATCGTTCACACGGACAGATAGATGGACAGACAGACAAAGGAACAGACGGAGAGACCAACCGGCAGGCGACAGATAGCAATGCAAAATTATAAACGATCTCTAGGATCGTTAATAAACGGCAAAAGTGTAAAATTATGGAACATGTAAAAAACGGTTTTTTGTTTTTTTTACAATAACTTTTTTTGTAAGCGGTACAGAAAAAATTCCTTCCTTGGTACAAGACTCGACACCATAACGAACCAAATAGCGAAAAAAGTAGAACAATAGCTCTTAAGATAAAAAACTAGTAGCGTCGCAAAGTTAGCGGACGGACGGACGGACAAAGTGGCCACAATAGCGCATTTTTTTTTTATTTTTGTGGAAATGCGCTAAAAAAATAGGTCCCAAAATCGATCCCGGCGGAACATCTAACTTACCAAATTAACACTCTACTTCTTTTGCAGACATACTCTGGTCTCTTCTGTGTCGTCGTCAATCCATACAAGAAGCTTCCAATTTACACAGAAAAAATCATGGAGAGATATAAAGGAATTAAACGTCACGAAGTGCCTCCTCACGTGTTCGCCATAACAGATACCGCCTACAGATCTATGCTGCAGGGTAAGGGCCGTGTAGATTTTACTTTTCGATCGGATTAATGCGGACTTTTTCAGAGCGAGAGGATCAGTCGATACTTTGCACGGGGGAATCGGGCGCCGGCAAAACGGAAAACACCAAAAAGGTCATACAGTATTTGGCGTACGTGGCCGCCTCAAAATCGCCTAAAGGATCGGGGGCGGTAAGTGCCACAACTTGCCGTGTAAATAAAGTATTTTTGCACTTTGCCTTTTCTTTTTTTTTTGATAATCGAGCATGTACCTACGGGTAGATTCTAATTTTCATTTTCTTTGCATGTGCCTCTTTGGACAATCGAACTCTACAGAAAGATCTTATCGTAAGTAGTTTATTTGTACTGTACCTACTTTTAAGAATGTACCGCACTTGCGTTATGCAATCGAAAATCCACATTATCGGTCAGCACTTTATGTAAATATTGCTGGCTGTGAGGTTTGTTGGGAACAATGACTTATTTGCGAAACTAAGCATTGCAATAATGCTGACCCGATTTCTGAGTTAAATTTGTCCTTTTTACATGTCTTTCTCTAGAGTCCAACAAGGGACTTTTCGGTATGTATTTTCGCAACTTTCTTATATACATACTTGGTATTCAAATGGTATTGGGACAGACAGAATGATACCATCTTTGAACTATTTATTCGGTACATTTAACAAACTCTGAATTTGATATTTGTTGTGTTTTCGATTATGCTTCACGTGAAGATTGAGAACGAATTAAGTGTAAGTTTTTTTCTCGTAGTCTCATTCATCCATTTTTAGAAGTAATAATAAGTGACTACGAGCATGTTTCATTAGCACATAAGTAAACACCTCATTTATATAATTTTGCAATTGTAATTAGAGTTCCGAGGGTTCTCGTACAATTCAAAGTTCTGGATAAATCTTAGGAGTTCTGGCAGTTCAGTAAAATAATCAATTTGGAAAATATGGGTTGGAGGAGCCAACTTCACGCACCCTCACATTGCATCAAAAGTGAACTTTTTTGGAAAAGATCCCGGTAGTTCTAAAGTCATTAAAATTGTTCCCAAAAAAATCAATGCAGAAGGGGTTTTTAAACATTAAACGTAAAAACCCATAGCCACTGTGAACAAATATCAATGGATACGAAGATAAAAATGGAGGATGCGACTCTTTTGCTTAAGATTTAGGTTCATCCCAAATTTCATTTACCTCACTTTTACAGAAAGGAAAATATGAATGACAAGTGTCGATATTGCATATACCAAAGTGTCTTAATGTCAAGCTGATCCGATTATTATGTGGGAAACTAATGCTTAATAGACATAGATTTTTGAAAATTTGTACATAAGGTGAGACTCTTTCAGCTAAATTATTTTCAGCGTTATTTAAATTCTTCAACATTTTTGGCACAAAATAAATTGTCTTTTGCAATGCAAGCAAAGCAGACCTATGGTTTTTATGATTTTCGTAATCCTTACCCAATGTACAAAAATTATACAGTGTCCAAGATAAGGATGTCTATTATGGGGATCTCAGAAACCATAGAAGATACGAAGATATGGTCAAATTAAGGAAAAGTTGCGCATTTAAAGACTTATTATCATATTTTTGAACAGATACAAAAAAAAACCACTTTCTCATTGTCACTGTTTGAGCTCTACAGGACACCATTAAGAGATTTTCCATTCAACGTTTCGTTTTGGAGAAATCATCAACTTTATTTTTTTTATATGGCCCGTAAAATAAGTATATACTGTACTGAGGAGCATTGTTTTATTAGGAATACAACGATGTATGACACAGAAAGAAAAAACAAAAGTTGGAAACTGTTAGTTTCAACAGGATGGTGCACCCGCTCACAACGCCTTAATCGTGCGAGAATACCAATCAAATTTTCTGGAAAATGAAAAACGAAAATCTCTCAATGCTGTCTTGTAGAGCTCAAATAGTGCCCCTATTATTGTCCATAAGAAAGTGTTTTGTTTTTATTGTTTTTTGTATTTGTTCAAACACCTAAAAAAATAATAACAAAATCGGCAAATTTCGGTTTTTCAAGCATATCTTCAAAAATAATCGCAATTTCCTGGTTTTTTATAGCATGTGTCACTTCAAACTTAACGTGTAGGTTATCTGCCAAAAAACGTTATTTTGCATTATTTAGTATGGGCAAAAAAACCGTTTTTCCCAAATAACCTGCACCGAGACCTGCACGTTAAGTTTCTATGGTTTCCGAGGTCCCCATGATAAACATAATACTGTTTTTTTTAATGGAAAATCATGTACCGGGTGACCCAATAAGACTGTTCCTCGGCCATATCTCGGGAACCGTTCATCGTATGACTTAGGGGTAAAAAAATTATTGGGTAAATCGGTTATGAAGAATCGCTGGAAAATATTTTCAAGTTCTAAAACTGACCACCAGAGGGTGTAACTGCCATCTTAAATTTTTCAATTGTATTTTCTTTAAATTTCGCCTAATAAACTAAACATTATTTTTTCACATTTTTAAAGAGAACCAGTTTATCCATCATTTTCGTAAAAGCAAAAACTCAGTTATTTCATAAACAAAGAGGGTGTGGGGCGTTCAATTGTTTTTGCAATAACCTGCTTTAACTTCATAACTGTTTGACCGATTGTAACAAATTTGGTATCGTTGAAAAGAGCATTCCTTGGATAACAAGAATCCTTCTCCGCCAGGGGCTAGTTTTGACCCTATCATCCAAAATCCTAAAAAAATCAAATGAAATGATATGACTTTTTCTTTATGAAAAAGTAGCCAAATAATACCCAGTGAAAACCGATTTTCAAAATATCGTTCCTAACTTCAAATATTGGGAAAATGAGATTAATTAATTAATTAATAAAAATGCTTAAATTGTATCTTATTTGACGTATTTTCGGTATTTGTCGATGGTGCGAAAGATTGTTTGGAAAAGGACCCTACACTTTTAGGTAGGTCTTGGAAAATTAAACAAATGCAACACGATGCATTATAAAATAATAACAGCCGTAATTTGTAAATTATTCTGCTGTGTTTACATTCAGAAAGTGCAGTTTTTTGAATTTGTAATCTTTCCTAAAATGCCGATTTCTAACCAAGAAGCATTTAATACGCTGGCGGCGATGGTTCGTTGTCGATTCAGATAACGCAAATAGAAGTTGCGGGCAGCGATGGTCGCATCTTGAAAATACTCAAAATATATCGCCAGCATATTAAATGCTTCTTGGTTAGAAATCGCCATTTTAGAAACGATTAAAAATTCAAAAAACTGCACTTTCTGAATGTAAAGACAGCTGAATAATTTACAAATTACGGCTGTTATTATTTTATAATGCATCATGTTTCATTTGTTTAATTTTCCAAGGCCTACCTAAAAGTGTAGGTTGCTTTTCTTTCGCGCCATCGACAAATACCGGAAATACATAAAAAGTAAATTTAAGATACAAGTTAAGCATTTTTGTTAATTAATTAATCTCATTTTCCCAATTCCCAACGAGATTTTGAAAAACGATTTTCACTGGCCTCTTTGGATGTTATTTGGTTTGGCTACTTTTTCATAAAGAAAAACTCGTATCATTCCATTTGATTTTTTAGGATTTTGGGTCATAGTGTCAAAACTAGCCCCCTGGCGGAGAAGGATTCAACTAAATTAACTATATTTTTCATTTGATTTTTTTAATTTTTTTTATCATAGTGTCAAAACTAAAGGATTCAACCAAATTAACTATATTTTGGTTGATTCTCATTGCCCAAGGAATGCTCTTTTCAACCATATCAAATTTGTTAAAATCGATCAAACGGTTAAGTTGTTAAAGCAGATTATTGCAAAAACAATTGAACGCCCACACCATCTTTGTTTTTGAAATAACTGAGTTTTTGTTTTTATGAAAATGATAAACCGGTTCTCTTTAAAAATGTGAAAAAATTTTTTTAGTTTATTATGCGAAATTTAAAGAAAATGGAACTTTAAAATATAAGATGGCAGTTACGCCCTCTGTTGGTCATTTTTAGAACTTGAAAATATTTTCCAGCGATTCTTCATGACCGATTTACCCAATATTTTTTTACCCATAAGTCATATGACGAACGGTTCTCGAGATATGGCTGAGGAACAGTCTTATTGGGTCACCCGGTACACAGGGTAGCTCAAAAATAAGTTATGATCAACTTTTTTTTCATGAATTACATTTACAATGTACCATGATCAAACCTCATTCAAAATTAACAATAAACGCATCCGAGCGTTTTTTCGAACACGCCTACATTTAATTATTATTGAATTTATACGTTACTTCTAGGGCGCGATTACATAACAATACGAATATAAGTTCCAAAGCTGTATTAAAAAATTATAAGGCACCTGAAATCATTGGTACTCTATGCAACATGTTAGCAGTCAATGGAATTCGTTTAATCGTAAAAAGTTGGAATTTTGCCAGTAAGTGAACTTTTTTCAGACCGTGTAACATTTTGGGTTGACTTTGATTTTACATTATTCAGTGCCGGAGTAGCTACCGCTGGTGCCCGGGCGACTGCCCAAAATTGCGTCCTCATACATTCCCCTTTTCACCCATTCCCCACCAAATTAACAGCTTGGTAGATACAATGAAAACAGATATGTACAGGGTGTTCACAATTGCTTGGTTTCGATGTTTTTCGGTGATGTTTTGAGAACTAAAAGATAGAGTGATGCGGTTTGCGCTTCTCTAGTTACCTTTCAAAGCTGCATAGATCACCGATGTCAATTTTGACTTATGACTTATGCGAATGTGGCAACAGCGCAAAAGTCCAAAAATTTATAACTCGCACCAACATCGAAAACAAACCATTTGGAACACTCTATACACATGACGACGTGTCTTCATTTTACTAAATTTTGTCTTACTACATTTTGATTTTGCTCATTGCAGAGTGCAGATAAGTTTTTATGAACATAAGTGTCGAGAAGCGTCCCCAAAAGTGACTGCGACCGGGGCGGACCGATCGCTTCCCATTTACGCCGCCACTGATTGTACCCTCTAATTTTAGTCTCACTCCCTTTGTTTGTCAATGTCTTTGAAGAAATCCCGAATTCCCCGGAGCAGTATCTTGCCAGATGGATCTTGATCCCCTAAGGAACCTGTGCCTCACAGCGACATAGTATATAATAATAATAATGTCTTTATTAGCACGAACATAAAATAACTACAGTAGAAAAAAAGAAACTAAACATCAAATGCACACGCTAAAGACGCAGTTCACAGGGAGCAATTACTTGCTTCGCTGTGCTCTTCCACTGAACCCCATACGTAATTCGCAAGTAATATAGACATAAGCTCGTGTACTAATGGAGTTTCAATAACCAAGACTGCAAACTAGAGCAACAATGGATGGATAGGGAAAGGATGAATGGAACCGACCTTTCATCTTTCTTCTGGCACCACCTGCACAGTGGGCCTACTTCGGAGTATATATTGTGGAGGTGTCTTTTCATTCGACAGTAACTCATTAGGAGACCCGTTAAATATATACAGGGTGTTCCTAAATATGACATACGGAAGACACCAATTTTTTTAGTCTCTTTTCAAAATGAGGAAAGTCCGTAAGATTGAAATGAAATAAAACTAAATCACGGACGAACTGACATTAGTATAAATAGTATAAATTTATATATTTTTTCAAACTTTTGCCCCCCCCCCCCCCATCTATTGTTGTTTTTCTGGAAACTTCACAAAAAATTGCTTGAGTGCCCAGCGCACTATCAAGGTAAGTTGTTTATGTGAGGCAATCGGCGTCAGCGGCCACTTCCCGAATTACTGCTATCACAACGTGTGTTAACTGCACGACCATCATAGTTACGCCATGACTCGTCGTCGTGTATGTACATAGTCGACTCCCACTCACTACTGAGCTTCTCTACCGCCCCCTTAGAATGTTCCAGCGCCCACTGGAGGGCGGTACTGCCGCCGTTGGGAACTATACAATCACAAACAGCCATGCCTTATCTGGGATTCGAAATATTACAAAACTTTATTTTATCGCAAAAGTCATAAATCATTGTAAAGCATCGGACAATTTTGAATTTAATTTGGACGTCAAAAATAGCAAGCTTAGATTCTGCGGTCGCGGTCGTTTCTATACGTACCGCATTGTTATATGTTCCGAACGTCAATTTAGATCGTGCTCCGCTTCCCATTTGAAATAAATATGACAGATGTCATTAAAATGCATAATCATCTGTTTCACCGTATCTAGCCTTGCTGTTAAAGTGATCACTTAATCTACTATGCTTAAAGAGCGACTTATTAAAACCTATTAATATGTCAGTTGCATCTACTATAAAATAAACTCATTTTTTGTACTCCATGGATTTAATCAAGGTGTTTTATCATTCATTTAGGGGACTAAAGTGTCACTTTTTCTCCAGGAGGGAGAAAATCGCGACGAGTGACAGTTCTGTAATCATTAGTTAGATAATTATTATGTGAAATCAACTAACGTAAATGACCAGTCATTCCAGAATGATACGAATGCTCCTCTTTCTTTTTTCAACCCACCTTTTATGAACACACTTATCGTGTTCCCACTTCATATTTCGTAAGACGCGGACATTCCCGAACTTCCGAACACTTATATCAACATATCATCAATTGTTCTATTGTTGAACACATTTGTCCAGCTTCATACAAAAATCTTAAAAGATAATAAAATTTAACATAAGGACATACTTGCAAATTTCATACAATTTAAATGTCAAATTAAATAACCAATAACCAGTATATCTATTCTAATGAAGTACGGAAATATCTGTGGCGTGACCAGTTTCAGATACAACTAAAATCACAGCCCACAGCCGAAACAAGCTCATATTAAACTCATGTACTGTTTTATCAGAAATTATTTGTCAATTTGGATCTTTGTGTGATTTCTCACTTTTATGTACTAATTTTCAAAAATCTATTTGCATTACATTTCTAATACAATAATGGACTCGGCTTGTCGTTGCACACCTGGTATAGGCAAGAATTACATTTAGGATTTAGCCCATTGTTACTTAATATTTCTGTGTCTATATTTTTATTTGCATTTCTTTTGATCACAGGGTAGTTTAGAACTGCAGCTACTCCAAGCGAATCCCATTTTGGAAGCCTTCGGAAACGCCAAGACGGTCAAGAACGATAACTCTTCTCGATTCGTAAGTTGCAATTGGTATACAAGCTGTAAACATGTAAAAACGTGAGTGGTAGAGATCCAAAACTTAAGTTTCTTTTTTGAATTTTTAAGCAGCCATACAAGGACTAAACTTACAGATTATCTAGGTTTTCCAGTACATAGTTTTCGATTTTGTGAGAAAATTTCTATTCCCACTAGTTTTGAAACTTGCAATTGTAATTTTTTAGTGGGCATTAAATTCCTTTTTGTCAGGAATGAATACAAAATTGAAAAGGACTTTAAAAACCGTTGGTAAAGCCTGTAGTTGCATCATTCTGTGTTAGGGTACAATAAAATCAAAGAAATTAACCCAAATTTTGTAACTGTAATGGTACAAGATCTCCCCATTTTTTAACAATATTAATACACATTGTTAAGGGGTGCCAAAAAAGTACCCTTCATTAAAATTAAAGTAATTAATATACTGCTTCTCCCACATGGAGAGAGCGCATGCGCACTCTCTTACACCACGAGCAGGTATTATGCTGCGTCTTTCTCTTTCACGCAGAACAATACACACATTCCTCTCTCACGTGCTACTTACAATTACGACAACGGTAATGTTCCGTGGAAAAGAGAAGGACGCAGCATAACAGCGGAGATATTATTAACTTAATTTTAATCAAGGGTAGTCTTGACTTAATTTTCTTAGGCAACTCATTTGCAATCTGTTTGTTTACGAATTAAGATTGCTAAAAAATGTATTTCACTCGGTAAACAGACGAGGGAAGGTTGGTCTTATGCGGGATCTTGGACTATAACTTGTAAAACATATACCGATTTGTGGTTTTACAGGGAAAGTTTATTCGAATTAATTTCGACGCGTCCGGCTACATTGCGGGCGCGAACATCGAAACGTACCTATTAGAAAAATCGCGTGCCATTAGACAAGCAAAGAACGAAAGGACCTTTCACATATTCTACCAGTTGCTGGCGGGCTCGACTACTGAACAAAAAAGTTAGGTTCGGTTTCGACTCGATTGTTACTCAAGCTTCTTTTATTTCAGAGGAGTATATTTTGGAAGATTCCAAGACGTATTCGTTTTTAAACAATGATAACCACATCGTGCCGGGCGTGGACGACGTCGCAGAGTTCGAGAGTACGGTCAAGGCGATGCACATCATGGGGTTTAACACTGAAGACTTTAGTGCCATTTTCCGTATCGTTTCCGCTGTCATGCTGTTCGGTACAATGCAATTTAAGCAAGATCGCAACTCGGACCAGGCGACGTTGCCCGATAATACGGTGGCGCAAAAAATCGCTCACTTGCTCGGCCTATCCGTGACCGATATGACGAAGGCGTTTTTGAAGCCTAGAATTAAAGTAGGTAGGGAATTCGTTACGAAAGCGCAAACTAAAGAGCAGGTCGAGTTTGCGGTCGAGGCGATTTCCAAGGCGTGTTACGAGCGCATGTTCCGGTGGCTTGTTACGAGAATAAATCGATCTTTAGGTCGCACCAAGAGGCAAGGCGCGAGCTTCATAGGCATTCTGGATATAGCCGGTTTTGAGATCTTCGATCTGAACTCCTTCGAACAGCTCTGCATTAATTACACCAACGAGAAACTGCAGCAGCTTTTCAACCACACCATGTTCATTCTCGAACAAGAAGAGTACCAACGAGAGGGAATCGAGTGGAAATTCATCGATTTCGGTTTGGATCTCCAACCGACAATCGACTTGATCGACAAACCAATGGGTATCATGGCATTGCTGGATGAGGAATGTCTTTTCCCGAAAGCGACCGATAAGACTTACGTGGAAAAACTAGTGAGCGCCCATTCCACGCACCCGAAATTCAAGAAGAGCGACTTTAGAGGCGTCGCCGATTTCTCCATAATCCATTACGCCGGCAAGGTCGATTATTCAGCAACCCAATGGCTCATGAAGAACATGGATCCTCAAAACGAGAACGTCGTGTCGTTGCTGCAGTCCTCTCAAGATCCGTTTGTCGTCCACATCTGGAAGGACGCCGAGAATATCGGCCGGGCCAAGGGAATGTTTAGAACAGTTTCTTACCTGTACAAGGAGCAGTTGGGGAACCTTATGGTTACGCTTCGTAATACCAACCCGAATTTCGTACGATGCATCATACCGAATCACGAAAAACGGGCGGGAAAAATCGACGCGCCTCTGGTATTGGATCAGTTGAGGTGCAACGGCGTTCTCGAGGGAATTCGTATTTGCAGGCAGGGTTTTCCTAACAGAATACCGTTCCAGGAGTTCAGACAGAGATACGAGTTGCTCACACCGAATGCGATTAATAAAGGATTTATGGACGGGAAGAAAGCTTGCGAGACGATGATTAAATCCCTGGAGCTAGATCAAAACTTGTACAGAATTGGACAGTCGAAAATATTTTTCAGGTGAGTGGGTACTGGTTTACAGTTGACTAATGAAAATGTGTTGTGCCCTCTTTTGGCCATGAGGGTACCACATTTGCCCATCTGCCTGTCACTCTTGGTGACACATTGATCTCCGCCTATTTATCAAAGTACACCCAACGAAGGTTTGAAGTCTTATCACACACTGATTATATGACAACGAATTTTGCACATTAAGCACTAGTGTACCTTTTTACCAGAAACAAAAAGAAATAATAAGATACTAAAGGTATTCTTTAACATAGGATTGTAACCTGATCTACCATTTTGCATTGCATGGGCGAAGTTTAGATCTTAAAAAAAAAAGTGGAGTTTTAAACCGACCCACCAACATAGCGTACAGGTTTGAGAGACAAATAATTCTTCCAACCTTGAAAAACTGTCAAAATTGTTAACTGACAAATTTTTAGTTTCGTCTCATCCTCTTATTAGTATACTCAATTAATTTCAGTACGAGGATGTCCTTTATTTGACCTGTTGAAAATCAATAATCCTAAGTGGGTTATGCCACTTCTTAAAAAAATTCTTGACAGAACAACTTTCTAGCTCAAACCAAAACTCGCGCTTTCGGAAGAGCCTGAAAAAAATGGTAAGTGTAGGGAAAAAACGTTTGCCACGAAAGTTTCTTATTTTCAGATGCAGAATAAGAATACTCAATAAAAAGTATGGGTTTTCTCAGGTCCACTTCCTCAGCCCCGCCCATTGCTTCCATTTTTGAAAAAAAAATTGGATTCGATTGTGCTGCAATTATTTTCGTTTCTGCTACTCGCTTTCCCGGAGAAACGGTGGGCGGGGCCAAGGAAATGCTACCCCCACCCAACCTTACTATTGTAAAAAAAAAACTACTGGAATCGTTTGTGCTCTACCACTTTACCGAGAGAAATACTATATTCCAAGGGTGGCCAAACTTTTTACAAGAGACATTTCTTTTTGTATGAAATTTGCAAGAGCCACACTTCCCATGATTGAGGAGAGCGGGAGGGGGGGGGGGTCTAGGGTTTAACAAAAGATTTATTTATCATTCTTTGTGGTTAGGTTGGAATAGCACTTTCAGGTGCTGATTTGATAGTTGCGACCGTTTTAATACAATTTATAGTCGAGTACCACACTTCAACATCATAACCTGATCAACACATCGACTATTAACTCTAGATCCACGAGCTCTTATTCTTTTAATATGTTTTTTGAAAGTGGAAAACTTTTGTTAATTAGGTACACCAACTTCAAATGGATTTAATAGAAAAGTAATGGCGGGTTTCAATTGTTTTGTGAGTGAGCCGCAGTACAGACTTGAAACAGCCCTTTTTCTGACAAACAGACCTGTTTCCGTTGACACATATTTTCGCATTCTTGCCTATCTCGTACCCCGAACACGTCTCATACTCGTACCCGCGAGCCTCACTTTCACGCAAATCTGGCATGTCATGTGACTGTTTGGCTCGGGTGGCCCCTATTCTACTAATAGTCCGCCTTTTAATTTATAATTGAGAAAAATGCACCACCTCCCTTGGGGGAGAAAGTTGCATAAACGAAAAGAACCACAGCAAAAAAAATACAAAGGATTCCAATAGTTTTTCTGAAAATAGTAAGATCGGGCGGGATCAGATTTCCTTGACTCCGCCCACCATTTGTCTGAGACGGAGACTAGCACAAACAAAAGCAATTGCAGTACAAACGATTCCAGTAGTTTTTTTGACAATAGTAACATTGAGGGGGGGGTCGCATTTTCTTGGCCCCTCCTGCCGTTTCTCTGGGAAAGCAAATAGCACAAACGAAAATAATTGCAACACAGACGAGCACAAACAATTCAGTAGTTTTTTTGACAATAGTAAGATTGGGAGGGGTCGCATTCCCTTGGCCCCGCCCACCGTTTCTCTGGGAAAGCAAATAGCACAAACGATTTCAGTAGTTTTTTTGACAATAGTAAGATTGGGCGGGGTCCCATTTCCTTGGTCCCGCCCACCGTTTCTCCGGGAAAGCGAGGAGCACAAACGAAAATAATTGCAGCACAAACAAACCACAATCGAATCCAATTTTCCTTTCAACAATGGAAGCAATGGGCGGGACTGAGGAACTGGACCTAGTTTTCTCTATACTTTACCCTTAAGGGGCAGTTATTTGAAAATGTGAATAGCATCATGAAACGGGCCCTTCCATATGAAGAATAGTGTGCACAATATTCGACTGTCTCATGATAAATGGGACACCCTGTATATAAATTAAGTAAGTAGCATTGAAATATAAGATCACAGAACAGCTCACAAAAGAAAAATCAGCATTTTCAAAATTACTTTCTTATTTGTAAAGTTCACAGACGATTAAATTACCAAAGATTTGTATTGTATACTGAATCCAAATCTGTAATTAAACAAGCAAAACATTTACATTTTTCATATAATACCAAAAATGTGACTTCCTTACATGAAACACTGTATATTATTACATCATATGATAGCTTATTAAATTCTCTACAAAAGTTTCTCATGCACCATAGCCACAATACTTTAAATAACCAAGAATTTTTGATTTCAATCTAGTTATCTAATAGTCCCTGTACGCACCCTGAAAAATGCGATATCTCCGTCACAGATATCCTGAACGCCAGTCACTCCCTCGAAGATATTTTCTGGTATTATATCGTAAATTTAGGAGGAAATGTACTACTGAATAAACGTCATTTTATCATTTTTATGGATAACTAGATTGAAATATAAAAAATTGAAAAATGTCAGACATTTGAAGTATTTTGGCTATGGCGCATTAAGAACTTTCGTGTACAATGGCGTGCGATCACCACAACACTTGCCAGCAAAACACCTGTCCAGCAAGTGAAATCAAAATTGAAACTTAGAATTTTATCTCTCCTCGAAGACATCCGACATCTGTTATAAAGAAAAATCCTCATACTGACTTATAACTTCTCAATTTGAGAGACTCGGTGGCCTCGATCAACTTCCGAAAATTCCAAAGAATTTATTACACAAATGATCGTTTTTACGTTAATTCTAGTATTTAAGAGAGCACCGCTTCAAAATAATCTCCTTCAGGATTTTGACAGGCCCGTAGCCAGGAGGTGGCCAGAACGCGGTCTTGCCCCCACTGGAAGTTACAGTTGATGGTTCATTTACCAAAATTACAGGGGTAGTCTTTATCAAAAAATTCTTAAGCCTACCAGCCACCCCTGCTACTTCATTCTGGCTACGGGCCTGGATTTTGAAAAACACTGCCAATCACAATTAGACTTGATAACGGCAGTTGCGAAGCAACGCCTCCCCACTTACGCCTAAATAACGCGCACATCTTGTTAAATCACATGAATCTTCTAACAACGATAAGAACACGTGCGTTAATTAAATTTCGTGCGATGAGACTCCTTATCGCAAACGACTCGATGTCTCTACATTTTAACTGGCAATTTAATTTTACAATTAAATACGCAAATCCATATATACAATTTACAAGAGCGATAAAATTTAAACAAGAATTATTAATTATAAACAATTCCAAAAAGGAAAACAACACTGGAACACAAATTGAAATACAATAAACCAATTCTGTGCTTATTTTGTAAATAGTCTATCAGATTTACACTTATAAATTGAAATATTCTCATATACAGGGTGTCCCGTCATTATTTTTGGTGTGAACTACGCCATTTAGACAGTGTCTCCATTATATGGCATAATTTTTTTTTCTTGTAAATATGGTCCCTTTCTGACATTTTCTGTATTATTTATGTACTACAAAATACGTATCACTAGAACTAGCTTTTTATTTTCCAAAATTTTTTCTAGGTCTCCAGAATTTTTTTTTGGATTTTCCCAACATTCCCACTAATTTTGTCAGACATGTCTTATAATTTGTCTAGAATTTCCATGAAAAATTTCTCTTTCTTCAAACCCAAATTTTTTTTCAAATGTTTCTTTAAAATTGTCTTGGTAATTTGTAAGGGAAAATTAAAACTTGGTTTTTCATACGAGGAAACGCGGCTTTTGTAAGGAGAAATTGTATTCAAAATCTGAAAACGCAGATTCCAAAATTCATAATAAAATATACAGAACCAAAAATGCCTGGCGTCATTGATAATTTAGATCAAAAATTCAGAATGTAGGGATTGAAGGCTTGAGGTTCACAATTTTTTTATTCTAAACATAATCGAGCATTTACAGATGAAACAAATTTATTAGACAAAATCAATAAGGATTTTTGATGATCTATAATAATAATAATAACTTTTATTTATATCACCGACTAGGGACACTACGCTGACACAATACCCACATCGCCGATAAAGTGTACAAGGGACACTAAGTGACCACAACGCCGACTCATACAAAAATTCTTAATTAAACTGGACGGGCATTTTTTGAATAGCCGGTGGTGTGGTCACTTTTGGCTTAGTGTCCCTTGTACACTTGTCAGCGATGTGGGCATGGTCGGCGAAGTGGGCATTGTCGGCGTAGTGTCTCTAGTAAACGATATGAACCATCAAAGAATCGTGTCAGCATTATGAGCATTTGCCGAAGTGTCCTAGACCCCTTTAACTGGCACAGACACCAAACAATGATACTTTCGGAACTTCACTGCTTTAATTTCACTTGAATCTCAATTTAGACAACACTGGGTGCGTTGTAATTACAGATGTAAAATTGGCTCTTTGATGGTGGAAAAATTCCTTTTAACTGGTACTTGAAGACCTTAAAGAGGGGCTTCACATAAACGAAAACTGTTCCATAATCTCAACACCTCGACTAACTTCGTAAGCTTCACTTCTTTAGTCTTTACTCTTACTCTTATCGCAATGACCGGAGATAACATGAGATAAACTTTTACAAATCGTTACACGCAAATCTTTCAAATGTCCCTAATCTTTCTAAATGAACAATAAAATAAAATCAAAATACTACGCGACTATTTAAACAAAATTAGGCAACAAATAATTTTCAAACAAAATCAGATTTACTTCAAATTGAAATACGGCGCCCTTTATAAAATTGAGTTTCTTTACAATTGGCACAAAAACATATTTTCATGAGTTACGGCATGAATATTTACGAAATTGGTAGAATTAATAACAAATGTCGCCGTTTAGGGCTGGAGTTTTGGCACACCTGGAAGAGGAACGCGATTACAAGATCACGGATCTGATCGTCAACTTCCAAGCGTTCTGTCGCGGTTTTCTTTCGAGGCGTAACTACCAAAAGAGGGTGCAGCAACTCAACGCGATCCGCATTATTCAGCGAAATTGTTCGGCGTACCTTAAACTGCGCAACTGGCAATGGTGGAGGCTGTACACGAAGGTGAAACCTTTGCTAGAGGTGACCAAACAGGAAGAGAAGTTGATGCAAAAGGAAGATGAGCTGAAACAAGTGAAGGAAAACTTTGAGGTCCAATTGAAGAGCGCCCAAGAGTATGAGAAGAAATTCCAGCAGGCGATGGAAGAAAAAACCGTGTTGGCGGAACAGTTACAGGCCGAGGTGGAATTGTGCGCGGAGGCGGAAGAGATGCGAGCGCGGCTTGCCGCCCGGAAGCAGGAACTGGAAGAGATCCTGCACGATTTGGAGGCGAGAATTGAGGAGGAAGAAGAACGTGCCACAAGTCTATCGAACGACAAGAAAAAATTGCAACTCACCATTCAAGATTTGGAGGAGCAACTCGAGGAAGAGGAGGCGGCCAGACAAAAACTACAACTGGAGAAAGTACAGTACGATGGGCGACTTAAGAAATTGGAAGAGGATGTAGCTCTCACCGAGGACACCAACCAAAAGCTACTAAAGGAAAGGAAACTCATCGAGGAGAGAAACAGTGATCTAAGCCAAACCTTAGCAGAAGAAGAGGAGAAGGCCAAGCACCTGGCGAAATTGAAGGCCAAACATGAAGCGTCCATTGCAGAGTTGGAGGAGCGGCTGTTAAAAGACCACCAGCAGAGACAGGAGTCGGACAGATCGAAACGAAAGATGGAATCCGAACTAACGGATCTAAAGGAACAGCTGATTGAGAAACGAACCCAATTGGAGGAGCTTCAGCTGCACTTGGGCAAGCGCGAGGAAGAACTGGCGCAGGCGATGGTGCGCGTCGACGAGGAGGGTGCGCATAAGGCTCAATCGCAGAAGGCTCTGCGGGAATTAGAGAGCCAACTTGCCGAACTGCAGGAAGATTTGGAAGCCGAAAAAACCGCAAGGAGTAAGGCGGAAAAATTGAAGCGCGACTTAAACGAGGAACTTGAGGCGCTTAAAAATGAGCTTTTGGACTCTTTGGATACCACGGCTGCTCAACAGGTGAGGCCGTAGTTAGGCATAGCCGTTAAATTACCCGTGAGTGTTTTTCAGGAGCTGAGATCAAAACGCGAACAGGAATTGGCCACTTTGAAAAAAACGTTGGAAGAGGAAACCCAAGTGCACGAAGTGAGCATCGCCGACATGCGCCATAAACATTCCCAGGAGTTGGCCTCAATTACGGAGCAACTCGAGAACTTGAAAAAGACGAAAACCGTCTTGGAAAAGTCTAAACAAAGTTTGGAGGCGGAAAATGCCGATCTCGCCTCCGAGCTTAGAAACGTCGGCGCTAGCCGGCAGGAAGGTACTAAAGTTCTAGTTTTTTTAGTTGAAATTACTCTCGATTCCTTAGGCGACCGTCGTCGAAAACAGGCTGAAAGTCAGTTGGCCGAAGTCCAATCGAAGTTAACCGAGGCCGAGCGTGTACGTACTGAGCTGATGGAAAAAATTCAAAAACTGTCCCAGGAATCGGATTCAGTGGCGCAACAGTTGGAGGAAGCAGAATTAAAGTAAGTAGCCGCATTTACCGTTTAGTAATAATAATAATAACACACTTTCGTTTCTTTAAAATCAAATCTCGAAACTCAAGCTAAAAGCATCTCGTATCGAGTTGAGTTAATTGTAGTTTCACCAAAATGGACCTCGCGCAATCCGGGAAAATGGCGTCTAATATGGCAGCTTTTTACTTACATTGACCCTTTTTTTCTGATTAGCCAATGGAATGGTTTTATTTCAATTTAGCTTGTTTCCAAGGTCAACAGATTGTATGAAAAGACGGCCAAAGGACTCGGCTTATTCAAAGACGTGTCACCAGTCTTTCTAACTCTTACGGTTGCTGAGAAAAAAATTAAAGAAATTTCACCACTTTTTGGGGGTGGCTCCTAAATGAAACACGTTGGACCCTCGGTTTATTTAGAAAAAATGCTTGTTTTGATCCCCTTTTAACATCCATTTTTTTTCATACTTATATGTAACACCCTGTATAATTGTATATTATATTTTATCATATTTCAAAATGTTGAAATGACATGTTTCAGTCAGCCATTTGGTTATTCATTGTTATCAGCTGCATTAATTACCATGGATACAATAAACAAAACAAAATCTCCATGAATCCATGGCCTACTATTTAAGAAAAATAAGATTTGCATGGCTACAATTTAAAAAAATATAGGTTGTGATACATCATTGTAATTAGGAAAAAAAAACAATCGACGTTAAGATAATATGTACAGAATGTTGCGTTTAAAACATACCAACATTGGGTGAAATCTCAGTAACTGTGGTTCAAAAATTTTTTTTACTACGTCACTGGTTTCTACGCAAAAATATATAAATTGGCAGTTTTTAAACATTCAAAAAATACTTTGCATGTTTGTACCGAGTGACCCAATAAGACTGTTCCTCGGCCATATCTCGGGAACCGTTCGTCGTATGACTTAGGGGTAAAAAAAATTATTGGGTAAATCGGTTATGAAGAATCGCTGGAAAATATTTTCAAGTTCTAAAAATGACCACTAGAGGGCGTAACAGCCATCTTAAATTTTAAAATTGAATTTTATTTCAATTTCGCATAATAAACTAAACATTCTTGTTTCACATTTTTAAAGAGAACCAGTTTATCTATCATTTTCGTAAAAACAAAAACTCAGTTATTTCAAAAACAAAGATGGTGTGGGGCGTTCAATTGTTTTTGCAATAACCTGCTTTAACTTTTTAACCGGTTGACCGATTTTAACAAATTTGGTTTATGGTTAAAAAGAGCATTCCTTGAGCAACAAAAATCAACACAATATAGTTAATTTAGTTGAATCCTTCTCCGCCAGGGGCTAGTTTTGACACTATGATCCAAAATCCTAAAAAAATCAAATGGAATGATCTGACTTTTTCTTTATGAAAAAGTAGCCAAATAACATCCAAAGAGGCCAGTGAAAACCGTTTTTCAAAATGTTGTTCCTAACCTCAAATATTGGGAAAATGAGATTAACTAATTAATTAATCAACATACTTAAAGTGTATCTTATTTGACGTATTTCTGGTGTTTGTCGATGGCGCGAAAGATTTTTTGGAAAAAGACCCTACACTTTTAGGTAGGCCTTGAAAAATTAAACAAATGAAACACGATGCATTATAAAATAATAACAGCCGTAATTTGTAAATTATGCTGCTGTGTTTACGCATTCAGAAAGTGCAGTTTTTTGAATTTGTAATCTTTTCTAAAATGCCGATTTAACCAAGAAGCATTTAATATGCTGGCGATATATTTTGAGTATTTTCAAAATGCGACTATCGCTGCCCGCATTTTCTATTTGCGTTATCCGAATCGACCATGAACCATCGCCGCCAGCATATATTAAATGCTTCTTGGTTAGAAATCGGCATTTTAGAAAATATTACAAATTTAAAAAAATGCACTCTCTGAATGCGTAAACACAGCAGAATAATTTACAAATTACGGCTTATTATTTTATTATGCATCGTGTTTCATTTGTTTAATTTTCCAAGGCGTACCTAAAAGTGTAGGGTGCTTTTCTTTCGCGCCATCGACAAATACCGGAAATACGTCAAAAGTAAATTTAAGATACAATTTAAGCATTTTTATAAATTAATTAATTAATTAATCTCATTTTCCCAATATTTGAAGTTAGGAATGAGATTTTGAAAAACGGTTTTCACTGGCCTCTTTGGATATTTATTTGGCTACTTTTTCATATCATTCCATTTGATTTTCTTAGGATTTTGGATCATAGTGTCAAAACTAGCCCCCTGGCGGAGAAGGATTCAACTAAATTAACTATATTGGTTGATTGGTTGATTTTCATTGCCCAAGGAATGCTCTTTTCAATCAAATTTGTTAAAATCGGTCAAACGGTTAAGAAGTTAAAGCAGGTTATTGCAAAAACAATTGAAGGCCCTACACCATCTTTGTTTTTGAAATAACTGAGTTTTTGTTTTTACGAATATGACAGATAAACTGGTTCTCTTTAAAAATGTGAAAAATTTTTTTTAGTTTATTATGCGAAATTTAAAGAAAATGCAATTTTAAAATTTAAGATGGCAGTTACGCCCTCTGTTGGTCATGTTTAGAACTTGAAAATATTTTCCAGCATTTCTTCATGACCGATTTACCCAATAATTTTTTTTACCTCTAAGTAATATGACAAATGGTTCTCGAGATATGGCTGAGGAACAGTCTTATTGGGTCACCCTGTACATGCAAATTCAGGATTATTTTTCCATGAATTTCATTTTCACGTTGCCCATATCCATTTTTATTTCGTTTGTCTCTTTTCTTCTTCTGTTGCTTATGTCTGTAAATTACTAACAAATTGTTAAAATTATGTTTTGACATCTGTGAAAACAAATGAACGGCAGCGATTGAAAATGTCATTTTTCGGTTTTTTGGTCATAACCTGGTTATTTATAGAACTACAAGAAACTCTGAAAAGGAAAATCAAAATTAATCCTAAGAAAAGGTCACTTCATATAAAATTGGGCGTAAATTTAGAAAAACAAATATTTTTTAGAGGGTTTTAAAACTCAAAAATTCGGAACAATTTCAAAAATTCAAAAACATTCAGAAAACCTATACAGAATTTAACCAATAATGTTAAAAAGTATACAAAACAATCAGCCCCATAGTCAGGGCTTGGCCAGATAGGGTTCGGTTCCACCTAGAGCATGGTTTTGTCCCCTCCAGAAACAATGGTTAACGGTTTCTTTACAAAATACGAAATGTACTCAATTCAACATACTATCATTAGTGTGTAAATAAAATCAAACAAGAAAACCAAAATATATGAAGTGACTTAAAAATGACAGCAGTCACAATAGAGAAATCAATATGTAAAAGTACAGGGTGATTCAGAATGATGGATATAATTTCAGTTAGCTGTATTTCCTGAACTATATGTTATATTTAATGTTTCTGTATGATACATTTGAAAGAGAATGTTGTAAAGTTTAAAGTTAAACTTACGACGAAATGAGTGCTGCACCATCCATTTTTTTTAAAGAAAAAAAATTCCCTTATGTGTAGGTTTTGTTCGTCTGTCTGTTCCTCGTGTAACTCAAGAACGAAAGGGGACAGCGATGTCAAACCTTCGCCGATCGATTTCTATGAGTTCAAGGATCAGTGCTATTGAATATGAGCCGGATCAAAAGTCTGGTTTCCGAATATGACCGAATTCCTTTACCGAAAATCGTATGCGATTCTTCGTATCTTTTTCCTATTCCGTAATATTTGTGCATCTCAAAGTATGTCAAAAGTTGCGAAATGAAATGCCATCTTCAATACGTCACAGTTGTTTTTTTATTTTTAACAGACAGATTCGGATTTAGCGCGATTGAAATAGGGAAAAACTACTATTAACTCAATTGTTACACAATCCCCTGCTAATAAACCTGAACGTAGCTTTGAAAGAATATGCAACTGTAAATTTTCTTATCCTTAAGTTACTAGAAACAATATTAAAATTTAATTAAAAACAATTGAAAACAGTGTTGAACTACGGACACCTTACATTTTTATGTTTCTTTATTAAAACAGAGCTTCAGCCGCTATAAAAAGTCAAGCTACCATTGAATCACAATTTAACGAAACTCAGGCCCTTTTGGAAGAAGAGACGAAGCATAAGCTATCGCTCAGTTCGAAATTGAGACAACTGGAGGCGGAAAGAGAACAATTACACGAGCAGTTAGAAGAGGAGGAGGAAGCGAAGAAGAACTTGGAAAAACAGGTATGTACTCAATTGGTGATATCTATCTGTGTTCACTTCAATACGCTTGGGGTAAGTATTCTTGTTCTTAGAGATGGCATCCTAGATCTGTTTTTGATAAGAGAACTCTGTTTGATTTGACTGGTCCATCTTCTGCAATGTCGTACACAACCTTTTGGATCCTTCCATATTTGTGGGAGTTAACCTTTTCATCATCTATTTCAGAGAGTGGCTGTTCTCACCTCCAACTTCTTAAACTAGGTGTCACAGTTTTGCCAGCAAACCAGGTTGGAGGAAAGACCTTGCTGATCCCTGAACTGTGTCTTTTTTCTACATTTCTCTTTTCTTCCTTTTTTTGTACTGTCATCTGTCATTTTGTTACCTTTAGAGTCTGGATATCCATTTTAGCATATTATTTTCTGTAGGCTGACACATGTTTCTAATGCATTCTATAGCACTACACCAGAGTTCACTTCTTACTCTTCTAGAGGTATTAATTTACATGCTGTCCCAAAATTCCTCCTGCCACAGGCGAAATTCAGTAACTCCATCCAGGAAGACGTGTGTCTACAACAACACCAATTCTAGCTGCTCGTCAAGTTCTAATAAAACAACATTTCAGGTAGCAACATTTAATGTCCAGCTGCTAGAAATGAAGAAGAAAATGGAGGAAGAATCCGAGCAGACCGCGCTTCTCGAGGAGGCCAAAAAGAAGATGAGCAAGGATATCGAAGCCCTTCAGAGACAGATCGACGAACTGACGGTGGCGAACGACAAACTCGAAAAGAGCAAAAAGAAAATGTCCGCCGAACTAGAAGACGCGAACATCGATCTCGAAACGCAACGACAGAAGGTCTCCGAACTGGAAAAGAAGCAGAAGAACTTCGATAAGGTGTTGGCCGAGGAGAAGGCCGTCAGCGAGCAGATGGCAGCGGAACGTGACGCAGCCGAACGGGAGGCGAGGGAGAAGGAGACCAAGGTGCTTTCGTTGAGTCGCGAGTTGGACGAATCCAGCGAGAAGGTTGAGGAGTTGGAGCGTCTCAGGCGGCAGCTTCAGGCCGAGCTCGACGAACTAGTTAACAATCAAGGAACTGCCGATAAGAACGTGCACGAGCTGGAGAAGGCGAAGCGGTCGTTAGAAAGTCAATTGGCAGAATTGAGGGCGCAAAACGAGGAACTGGAAGACGAATTACAGTTGACCGAGGACGCGAAATTGCGGTTAGAGGTTAACATGCAAGCGTTGCGGACGCAATTTGAACGAGATCTGCAGGCCAAAGAAGAACAATCCGAGGAGAAACGTAGGGGTATCGTTAAACAACTTAGGGACTTAGAGGCGGAGCTGGACGAAGAACGTAAACAACGAACGGCGGCGGTTGCTGCGCGCAAAAAATTAGAAGGTAGGTTAATATTGCCACAGCACGTTTTGATTAACGAATTTGGTTCCGATAGGCGATCTTAAGGAGATCGAAGCGCAGGTTGAACTGCAGTGTAAAGTCAAAGAGGATGCGCTGAAGCAGTTGAAAAAGTCCCAGCAACAGTGCAAGGAGGCTACGAGAGACGCAGAAGAGGCGAGGGCGGCGCGCGATGAGTTATCAGCCGGTTGTAAGGACGCCGAGAGGAAAGTTAAAAGTTTAGAAGCGGATCTTTTGCAAATGAGTGAGGATCTCAGCAGTTCGGAACGTGCCAGACGTGTGGTGGAAGCCGAACGGGACGAGTTACAAGAGGAAATAAATAATAACGCTAACAAAGGTTGGTAGTTAACTTCTATACATCGCCGTACAGTTATACTTTCCTTAACAAGTTTACTTTGGGTTTTGGGGGTATTGATATATCAAAAAAATTGCACTGCGTGTAAATGAAGGATCAATTTGCGATAATTTTTGCTTTCTTTACGTGAAATTGGTAAAAATGTGAATATATTTTCAATGTTATTGAGGGGGTAATTGCGATATACCACAGAAATTCGAAATCTAATGCTTTGGTTTCAATATGCATATAACAAAAACAAAAGTGATCAATTTCCATTTTTCTTTACATCTTCCTTGATGTAAAGAAACATAAACAATGCAACGCCTATTGGTGATCACGTGCCCGTGCTAAATTTGATTCGTATCTAAAATTCATCTTTAATCTAGTAATATGCACACCTCCATATGCTAAACTAAATTTTAATCCAACCAATGGAGTGGTACCACTGAAATTAAATGCAATTTTCAATCAATGAAACAAAATAACCAAAAATCCTTTGTCTGGAGTCGATTCTTATCAATAAAGACAATACAAATCTCTTTCATACAAGTAATTGTTATGGGTCGAGTACTTTAGGGACATTAAAATTCCTTACGCAAATTCCTAAAAATAACCGACCACTACTTGATATAAATAATACAAATTTAAAATCTGGTAACATTGATCTTATCTCTCCTGGGAACATGACGCTTCTTTTAAAAATAAGGAAACAGTTGATTTTCTTGCACCACCCTGGTAACGTTATCTTCTTGATGCGTGCAAAGTTTCCCCAATACGCTTCTTGTTATCGCTGATTATCGCCAGACATACTTTGGTTTACGTTCGCTATGAAGCGGTGTATGTGTAAATTTTCCTATGTTTCGGAAACGGCAAAGTGACCATCTGTTACAAGCCATGGATTCACTTCCCCGCGATTTTGCAAACAATCACCCTCCCGTTTTTGGCTCCAAATATTTTTTTAGGCTGCAAAGCTGTAACTGAAGTAAAGCTCACATACATTTTCGACATTTGAAGTTATTAACAATTCTGAGGATTAGATTATTGTAGATTCACAAAACAAAATATCCGGTTGTGTGAAGTCGATTGGTTGACAGTAACTGGAACCGTCCATTTTCGACCGTTTAAGCTAGGGAAAATGAGAACGAAATTTGTCATTTTCAGTTTTTCGGTGATATCTCAATTATTTTCATAGATTTCTCGAAAATTTCAAATCCGTTTTGTTGCACACAGGAAGGGGCCTATAAACAATTCACAAAACTCCCGTGAAATTTATAATGTCAAACGTAAATTTTTGAGTGTACCTTAAAGACGCAGATGACTATTTAATTTGACTGTAATTGATGTCCAAAATTGAAAGATAGGTTATGTGATTTCCTAATAAAAAGTGACAATAAATGATTAAATAATTTCAAATCAAGTGTCCAGGTTGTTAAACCTTGAGTGAAATTGTCACCAACATAAAGCCAGTAACTTTTTATTTGACCAACTGAACGTCAGTTTGACATGTCGGGAGTTTGTGAATTCATTATATGTCCCTATTTAACCTACACTGTACCTCTCACCATTGGGGAGGTCCCATTGGTGAGCCACGAATTTGGACCGCCCTTTACAATGGATTTCAGAAACGGAATGCATATACAGGGTGAAAAAATAAAACATGTTAAAACAAAATGTACAGCAAGGACCAAGCCAAAGCAAACATTCTTCCCAAAGAAGTTTAGGGTATGAAGTTTTGAGTTTATGAACTATGTATCCAGAAGTCCCAAAATTTGCATCCTTTAATTTTTTTCTCAGCTGTCATTAAATGCTTCTTGGATTGAAATCGGCATTTTAGAAAAGATTACAAATTCAAAAAACTGCACTTTCTGAATGTAAACACATCAGAATAATTAACAAATTACCGCTGTTATTATTTCATAATCCATTGTGTTTCATTTGTTTAATTTTCCAAGGCCTACCTAAAAGTGTAGGGTGATTTTCTTTCGCGCCATCGACAAATACCGGAAATACGTAAAAAGTAAATTTAAGATATAATTTAAGCATTTTTATTAATTAATTAATTAATTTCAAATTTTCCCAATATTTGAGGTTAGGAACGAGATTTTGAAAAACGGTTTTCACTGGCCTCTTTGGATGTTATTTGGCTACTTTTTCATAAAGAAAAAGTCATATTATTCCATTTGATTTTTTTAGGATTTTGGGTCATAGTGTCAAAACTAGCCCCCTGGCGGAGAAGGATTTAACTAAATTAACTATATTTTGATTCTTATTGCCCAAAGAATGCTCTTTTCAATGATACCAAATTTGTTACAATCGGTCAAACGGTTAAGAAGTTAAGCAGGTTATTGAAAAAACAATTGAACGCCCCACACCATCTTTGTTTTTGAAATGACTGAGTTTTTGTTTTTACGAAAATGATAGATAAACTAGTTCTCTTTAAAAATGTGAAAAAATAATGTTTAGTTTATTATGCGAAATTTAAACAAAATGCAGTTTTAAAATTTAAGATGGCAGTTACGCCTTCTGGTGGTCATTTTTAGAACTTGAAAATATTTTCCAGCGATTCTTCATGACCGATTTACCCAATATTTTTTTTACCCCTAAGCCATACAACGAACGGTTTTCGAGATATGGCCGAGGAACAGTCTTATTGGGTCATCAGGTACAATCGAAATGTATTAGGACATGATTTCGTCTCGCGCATGCGCAAACAGAATATAGGTCTATAATTCGTAATGTGTTTAATTTTTTTATGTCGAATTTTTTCTTCAAAACCAAAATCAAAACTCCCTCCAAAACTAAGTGAAACCCATCGCAAGTAACAAACCTGTTTAGTAATAGGACCGACGTTGTTTGGTGGAACGAGTTGCTCCAGGATTGCAAGAAATGGGGAGAGTGAAATTTAATTAAAAAAGTTAATGCAACAAATTCAGATCAGGGTTGCCCTCTCTTAATCACACGAGAATAGCTCTAGGGCCTTCATTGATTACAAGGAAGAAAAAAAGAGCTATTGATATTTTGTGTACATTGTACTCACTTATTGTAATATTAGTTTTCAACCTGTATGACAACATCGGAAAATGTTATCTCTCTCAAATCATGATTCTACACAGATATTTAAAATATTGTGCCACTGTCTTTCACAGAAAAGAATGTCTTGATTACGTCTGTTACGTAACCGAGCCCAACATTCACACCAAGGGCTTACGGTACAAAGAATATGGGTAGAGCTCAGGCGCTTACCATTTTATCTAGGACATAATCTCTCTCATTTTGTAAGCATACAGAGTAGGGTTTCGAGACCCATCACATAACAGTATTCAAATATTCAGGAGTCATGAAAAATAATCATGTTTGGCATTTATGAAAAATAAAATTGTGTCAAAAGTACCATTGTCTCTTATAGTCATAAAAATCCGAAGGAGTCCCGCATGACCATAGAATATTAGCAAATTTTATATTCAAGCATAAAAGGAGTGGACACATAACATTCACTCTTACTTCACTTACAGAGGGGCCAGGTCTGAGAAAAACCATTCATGAAACTCACTAAATCGCGTCCTACCGAATCAGAGGGAATGATTATTATTGGGATACCCTGTCAATTCTGAATTGGCTTTAGTGACCAAGGAGGTCTGAGCTTTTATTTTGGCTTGAAAACCAATTATGCTATTTTTCAACATTATCAATTTCTAATTAATAAAAGATTATGGCAATACAAGAACAAATTCAATAAATATTTTACGCCACCACATAAAAGAAACACGGGGGGCCCATCATACAAGCCGATAACAATCATCGTAACTGGATTTTAAAGTTGTTAAAATATAAAATACTAGGTACGACAACTACAATATGCTCTAACTTGTATGGACACCCTGTATTAATCTTCAACCTTCTCTAAACACATGATAAATCTGATCAATCTTACCCTGATGTCAGCTCAGGATATGAATTAATTAAACTAGGAATTTTTAGCTTCCTAGCATGTGCTAGGTAGCTATTGCGATAGCCGTTTTTTGAACATTTCAAAATTTCATCAAATGTCGACGTTTTAGACCATTTTAAGCAACTTTTAAAGAATAAAATTTTTTTCCGTCTATGTACGTACGTACGTACGTTTGTTGGCAATTTTCTGAGAAAACGGCTCGACGGATTTTGTTGAAATTTTGTATATATGTTTTAGGCATACCGAACAGAAAAATAACGGGCCGGATTTTTGAAAAAAAATTTTGGAGCGCCGTAACGGCATCGAACTTTTTTTTTCAAATAGCAACCTAAAATTTTTATTCTATTATTTGGAAGACCTTATTTTCCTGTGTACAACCTACAAAAAATTGGGCCGGGTTATATTATCAAAAAACGGAGAAAAAAATTGTCAAAGTCAAAAAATTGTGTTGCATATGTGCAAAACGCAACGATCTTGTTTCTGAAGCAATTTAAACGAAATTTCTATGGTAAGTCCCTTTAATAAAAGCAAACAAAATTCATGCGCAAAAATCGTGTTGCGCATGCGCAGAAATGCAATTTTCTTATTTATGGAACAATTAAAACGAAATTTGGATGATAGGTCCTCCTAATAAAAGAAAACAAAATGCATGCGCAAAAAATCGAGTTGCGCATGTGCAACATCCAACTTTCTTATTTATGGAGCAATTTTAACGAAAATTGGATGGTAGGTCCCTCTAATAAAAGCAAACAAAATGCATGCGCAAAAATCGTGTTGCGCTTAAAGAATAAATTTTTCCCGTCTGTAAGTGCGTACATATGTTGGCAATTTTTGGTTTCAGCTAGGAAGCTATTCTGTCAAGAATTAGACACCTGGTTTTAACTCGCAAGTTCTATAAATGTAATTGAAGTGACATTCTCAATGAAATTTCTACGTACATGAGAAAACTATGTACGCGCTACCTACAGCAAATAAAAACTACCCCTAAGTAGAGCCACTTCCTCAACTTATTTTAAGAACGTTGCGCAATGTTTTAAAAGGTCTTGCAAATTCAAATTTATAAAGCAAACACCTTAATAAATTGGTAAACAAGTAATACAAAACAATTACCCCGCATCCTACGCTAATTACAGGAAACAAAGGAAAAAATAAAGGATACATTTACTTATATTTACGAATCAAACATAGTCACAGAATGTCATTTACGTTCTGCTGCCTCAACTAAAAACTTCGCCACCGTCCTTTTCTCGCTTGAAGAAAGTAAAGCATGCGGCGAGTAATTTGAATGCACGTTCCCGGTAAAAGATTTCCAGTGGCGTAGCATGCGTTTTGCTTCTGCAAGATTAAAAACAAAATCTGTGTGCGTTTCCCGTATATACAGGGTTAGGAAAAATTACCAGAACGGTCGTTTATTTCAAAATATACAGAGGTTATCAAACAATGTCTTATATAAAAGTTGTAGGGCTGTTAAAAACCTACATATCTGTGATAAATTTAAATATACAGGGTCGCGCACAAAGATATAGAGAATGATTTTTACTTTATGGGAAAAAATCCTCTGTATTAACATCTGCGCATATCATCTGTTTTATGTGTTTACTTGGAAATGAAACTTGTTGGATACACTAAAAATTGTGTTTGTACATGCGCAGACGTGCTTTTTTGTTTATAAGCGATAAAATCATCGCACCGGGGTTACTAAAAATTTCGTTTGTTTTTATTGATGCATTTGTTTTAAATATAAACATTTCTCAGGAAACCTACTGGTGGATGAAAAACGTAGACTAGAAGCCAGAATAGCCACTTTAGAAGAGGAATTGGAAGAGGAACAAAGTAATAACGAAATTTTCGCGGACAAGGCGCGCAAGGCGCAATTAACAGTCGAACAGTTAACGACGGATTTGGCGAACGAACGTTCCGCCGCTCAGAAGCACGAGTCGACTCGCCTACTGCTCGAACGTCAAAATAAGGAACTGAAAGCGAAAATTGCCGAACTCGAGACGTCGCAGCGCACAAAAACGAAGGCGACGATCGCATCTTTAGAGGCCAAAATTAATAATCTAGAGGAACAATTAGAGGTAACTTTGTAAATCTTCGCGCGCGCATCTCTATAATTTGCGTGTTTTAGGCTGAAGCGAAAGAACGGTACGCTCAACAGAAACACAATCGCAAGTTGGACAAGAAGCTCAAGGAGTTGGTGATGCAGTTGGAGGACGAACGTCGGCACGCTGACCAGTACAAGGAGCAAGTGGAGAAGGTGAACGCGCGCGTCAAGGCGCTGAAACGTCAACTGGACGAGGCCGAGGAGGAGATTAGCAAAGAAAAAGCTCAAAAACGCAAGGCTCAACGAGAATGCGAGGACATGCTCGAGTCGCACGAGTCCATGACTAGGGAAATTAGCAATCTTAAGAGCAAATTAAGGTAACAAACTTTTCATCTTGGGCGGTAACGGGCAAGTAATATTTTGGTATTGATTTTCAGTCATAAGTCATGATATGGTGGAAGTTCCACTACGCAGTTTATTTAATCTCTAATTTGGTATGTGGAATTGGTTGTGCGCACTGTGCACATTAGGCGTTTGTATTTTTATTTTTTTTTTTGGAATTATTTGCTTCTTTTTTTTGCTTTTCCCAAAATGTTTAACAGCCAGGGAGCTATTATTTCAGTAGACATTGTTCTCGCGACATATACAGTCTTTATTTTCGCTACTAATCGATTATCGCTTTTAAGTTAAATTAGCATTGTTTTGCTAATTTGCTTTGCAGAATGTGTTAACAATTTGTGTGTGGTCTGTTTTAAAAATTGTCAAATGTAGAACAGTAGTATGTCCCCCCCCCCCCCCTTTATTTTGTAGTTTACTTTTCTGCTGCTTTATCCGTTATCAGAGAATCAGTTTCACAAGTAAATCATCATTCATCTCCTTCCCAGTATGTAATACACATTAAAATCAAGTTTCATGGTGTGGAATTTGAAATAATCCTTATGATTAGTGTGAGGGTGAAAGAACTAGGGGAAATTATGATTCGGTTTGAAGGACCAATTTGTAATCGACGCCAGTTTAAATCTCATGGTGTAAGCGGGGTAAAAATGCTTCTTAGGTTAAAACCATTGCACCCATTGAAAGTAATATTGTTTGTGTAGTTTACGATATATAAACAAAGCAATCATCTAACACAGGCCCGGAGTCACTTTGGCATGTAGCAGATGAGTACAGTCGAACACACTTGGTCTGTGTAGTCTAAATCTGAACGAACTACATTAATTAGCTAGAAATATTTGCAGTTCAAATTTTACTGCTAAGAAAAAAATGGCGCCAACTGCAAGCATGCTATAGTCCGTCCCACCTTGACTTTACAGTACAGGTTCTTATGATCAACAACGATGCCAAATGTCATCAGAATATGAATTCGCGTGTTTGTAGCTGCACCAAAAACTCATAATAGTCCGGTCAAAATAGACATTTCAAATAACAAAAACTCCGACAGAGCTGAATTTTGGTAGAGACCTTGGGTACACCAGTAGAAATAAAGTACCAAAATTCCTGTAGATCCCATGCTAAAGAAGTTATTGAAGATCAAATGTCACGGTTTTTTGGATTTTTCTCGAAAATGCTAGGTTTTATTAAACATGTAGCTCAGACAAAAATTGTAGATTATAAATTGATCCTTGTACTTTTTTCTTCAAGTGTCACCATTCCTAAGATATTGCCTTTTGAAAGAGTTACATTCTACACAATTCCGCCGGTAAGGTAGTATACTTGGCGCGTTTTTAACGTGGTTTCCCCGGTAGGCCTACTCCACGATCTGTGATGGCGGATTTTTACTTTTAAATACTGTATGTACAGCATGATGATTATTGATTTGAAATTGATATATAGGTAACTGAAACTGCAGTTTTGATTTCTGTTAATATTTTAATCTGATTTGTTCTGATTTCTTCTTAGACTTCTTTTTTTTTGCTGAATGAAAGACCTTCATCCGCTTCATCGCCACAAAGAAGCTCTTTGGATACTTGCATTAATCAAAGTTTTCATTCCACGACTAATAACTGTAAACACCCTGCCAGAGAGAGTGTGGTCTGCGATATTTGTATTCAATGTAAATGTATTATACCTGTGAAACAGAGAGCGGTTGTAGTATTTTACAGAAATCACGCGGTCCCACAGGTATAAGAACTATTTTTGTCAGTTTATGATCTACAATTCTTGTCTAAGCTATATGTTTGATAACACTTACAGTTGTCGAGAAAATTCCAAAAAACGGAAAATTTTGACCTTGAATAACTTTTTTAGCACACATGGTATCTATGGGGACTTTTGGGACTTTATTTCTACTAGTGTATCCAAGGTCTCTACCAAAATTCAGCTCTTGTCGGGGTTTTTGTTATTTGATCAGTATTTTTACATCAATTTTGACCGGGCTATAAGGATTGCATCGCCTTATGTTCTCTGTACAGTAAAGTCAAAGTGAGACGGACTATAGGCTACTTACCTTTGTGTATTGTTATTGGCGGTTTTTAGTTTTGTATTATTTCAATCAATCCAACTCCTACAACCCTTTTCAACTACAATACAACATCCCCCCCCCCTCCCAGCTTTTTCAATTTATTTCCACTTTTTAGCACAAAACCTATATTTGTGTGATAAACAAATTATTCGCTAGTCGCCCTAGGCTGGCTGGATCATGGGGATCCTATACCATACAAGATACAACGATTGTCAAAGATGTGCAATGAAAGAGTTATCATGCTTTAAAGAACACCAAAAAATTCTCATTTTTTATTATGATGAATGGCAAAAAACCAAAGTTGGAAATTGTTGGTTTCAACAGGATGGTGCACCCGCGCACAGCGCCCTATTCCTGCAACAATACCTATCGGACAAATTTCCTGGAAAATATAGGTATTCTCGCACGATTAGGGCATTGTGCGTGGGTGCACCATCCTGTTGAATCCAATAGTTTGCAACTTTTTTTTGCGCAGGGCGCATGCGCGTTCATATCCTCATTTTCTGTTGTATTCTATTGGAGGTCTTTAGTGTTCTTTGCCCCACTTCACGAAATCGATTGGGCGCGGCCGCCTCCTCAATCAGGGGATGGGCACGTGGCCTTTTGTGGCAATTTTCAAAATTCGTAGCGGGCGATAGAGAGGGGATAGGATAAAACTTGCGCGATGAGTCCTGTCAGCGGGCTACACGGACGATGTGCGAGGTGAAGCTGTACTCCTTCGAGGATTAAACAAATTTTCATTTGAGAAAAATAGGAGATGGCGTTTCAGGACAGCGGTGGTACCAAACGAGACACAGAGTAGCACGATGCTTTGCACGTGCCCTATACATACACCGTACCCTCCCCCCATGTCGTATCTCGCCCCGTTTTCGAGGTTTCGAATGATAAGTTTTTTAATCTGAAGGGCATCAGGGTACTCCTTTGGGGAGCGCCTGGGGAATCGAAAATTTTTTTTAACATTCACGGATGGCGCGAGACGGTAAATGGTCGCCAGGCCTCTACGTACTACATCAAGGTGGTGAAATTTTAACAGAAGAAAATCATTCGACCTCACACGGATACGCCTTATTGTGTCTGCGCGTTTTAAGGTTAAGTCTCTTACTGTACTTTATTCTAAAACTCGTGCTTTTCTCTTAACTGAATTCACCTCTTTTGGAAGAGTCAATGCGATTTTTAGTCAATATTGACATTTAAGCCAGAAAAAAAGGATACTTAGGGACCTCAAGTCCCCGTCAAGCATCTGTTTTCACTAATTTTTGTTTTCATAAGACATACGCTCGGCCTCGCCTCGTTCAGATATATATTTGTTCATGGCTGGTTTCTCCTAAGTCACTTTTTTTACTAAATTGAGCTCCCATCTAATGGCGTTTTTTATAAGCTTTTGGACGGTAGTTTCAGATTTGCACAAATATGCATCTAACTGCCTCAGTTTACATTCCGTTTGATAGGATTGTTTTCAATGCAAAAAATAAACTTTCAAAACTATAATTTGCGACTAAGGCATTTTTGGCATTGACCCCTTCAATTGTTTCTAACGTAAAAACAATTTCTGATGGTAATGATATATATCACACACAAATTTTGCACATGATTCCCATAGGTGCCATGGTAATGGTTCGCATATCATATCGTCTCCCCTCTTCCACTCTCAAAAGCGTGTTGTCTACGTAGTACGATTTTTGGCGCATACGTTTAATAGAGAGGGATCTACCAGAAAAATTGCAACAGAAGTAAAAAAAGCTGACTGTTGCGCTTTAGCAATACGATTATTGTAGCCCTCGGCTTCCTCGCCTCGCGCATTTGCTCAAATCGTTCTCGACGCAACCGCTCGATGTAGAAATCCAACATAAACGTTAAGAGTTATGGAGACACTCCAGCGATTAAGGGGCCTCGAAAAGTCGCGCGCGGATTGCAATAGAATAGGATTTTATCGCTCCTGTGTGGGGTGGGGGGCGGGGGTTATTGACAAATATAAACAGTAATCAGTACACATTAAATTCGCTACACTTTTTTGTACAGTATACATGGTAATGGTTCGAAAATGTGAAGCTTTACCATTTATGCGATATTTGTTAAAAACGAGCGCTACAAGCTATTGGTCCTTTGAGCCGAATCAAATTTCTTTTGGCTTTTTTCGCTTTTCCCAGTATTGTAATGACGTTCAAAACAACATTTTCACAACAGTTCAGGCAATTAATTGGAAGTTACCCAACGATTAAGCAATAAAAAACAGTGTCTGATGAGAAAACGCTGGTGACCCTATCTAGTTTTAAAAATAAAAAACGGTTTTGTTTCTTCAAGGGGAAAACTCGAAAGTTTTGTATACACTACTGGAATTTTTCTGCAAATTTTCTATTTTTTTAATGTTTTTGAATTTTCGTTTTTTTTTAAATTTTCAGTTTTTCTGAGTTGATATATAATTTAAATTTTTCAGCATATTTGTAATTGTTTCTGCTTCATAAATTTCTTGTGTTTACTATTTTCAGTTATTTGAAGTGTTTTTGGGTTATGTTGTCATTTACTGCTTGTAAAACTTTTTTTTAAAGCAACCCTTAATCGAACAGTGTAAAATATTTCACCAACTCCATCCTAAAAAGCTGGTTCCCAAATTTGTATGACCTTACACAACAGCAAAAATAATAATTTGTGTCCACTTTGATTATAGTAGCTACTGGCACTTAAGATGCTATAATAATAATCAAAGAGTAAAGACCCAACATTATCAACATCATACCTTGGTTAGCACATAACCATCACCGTCAATTTCCATCATCATATTTACACCATTTTGTTAATTATTGCATTATCATATTATTATAGTTTATCGAATGGGCAAATAAAAGTACCAGGGACTGTATTTTGTAAAATAATAGCGAAGATAAGCATTCTGGTAAAATCGCCACAAGAGCATTTTTTCCCTTAAATTTGCACTTACATTTTTAAAATCTTAAAGAACATTTTATAATAATATATGTCTAATGAATAAAGACATAATTATTATTACTATTATTTTTCAGTTTTAATTCTAGCGTTAATCATATAAAATTAAAAATAATACTGATCTCATTGTTAATTATTTTGTGAGATATGGCTGCCCAGTCATTCTTGGTCACCTGGTACAAAGAAAAAATCATTGAAATGAATGCAAGGAGATTTGGGGAAAAAACAAACGGAGTCCGCCAAGCGCGCGTGATTTCCTTTTGTTTCTGCAGCTTAATGTGCCTTTCACTCTCGCATAACCTCAAATTGAATTTAATTCGTTTTTTTTGTTATCTAGGCGAAATACTGGTGGCATGGGCTTGTCGTCGTCTCGACTGGGAACATCAAAGCGGGGATCGTTACAGCCGGGCGGTAGCGGATCGGGCGAGGATTCGGCGACGCAAGATGACACCTTGGACGGCGAGGACGCACCAGTATAACTGTCTCTGTAAAAAGCGCTAGTATTTTTTATTTTATGTTTTTTTTTTATTTGAATCCAATTCAACGGGCAGTATTAAAAATGTTTTACATCAATTCTTTAGATCGGCGTCGCCGGTACAGAATTAAACAATATGTTGGCTGCCTTTAGGGCTTCAATTTAAATACAATGTACCCAATGTGAGATGAAAACTATTTTACTTTGTCATGTGTAAATATATATACATACATATACATAGTACTTACTTAACTATATCATCGAAATTAGGTTGTTGCATCGTTCGTTAGTTTTATTTGTCGGCCAACCAATAACTAACCGATCTTGGTCATTATTCCTTAGTTCTGATGTAGAAAAATTTACAATTTTAAAATGGCCTTATAGATATAGAGCTTTTTGATAATAATTTTGCAATTTTATTTATATTTTGTTCAGCGCATTTAATTGTTTTGCCAAATGTGTAACTATTATTATGCTCGCCTAAATAATTATTATTCTTATTATTGCTTTAGTTTTCTTTAATTGTTGTCTGTAAAAGTAGGAAATATCAATCTTTTTATACTTTTAATACTTGTAGTATATTATTAAACTGTAATTATTGAAGATGGTTGTTTTTTCTTGCAATGACTTTTGATAATTTGATTGTACAAAACTTTAAATTTTTGTGTATATATATAAACTTATACTATTTAATTGGGTTATGGGAAGCTATTATAGTTTAATGCATACAACAATAAAAGTTTCAGCATTTATTTTTCTTCTTGTCAGTCTCCAAAACAACGGATGGGGACCATAACTGACCATTCTTTTTAAAGAAACCTAGGATCAGATAATCGGGTGGCAATTTTTTACAAATATGCCATAAGTGCAGTAAGTTTGTCGACATTTGAGTATCTTCTTTAGATTTATTCTATTCATTTTGAGACCACCTAATTTTTTTGCCATATTGACTGTTACTGCATCGCCATACAAGGAAGAGTTCCGTAAAGGTTGATTCATTTGCCCTTTGGCCTTTCTTCAATTTATCAATTGCATTCTGTGCAACCTATGTCACTAACAGTATTCAATATATATTAGTGATGCTACTGTAATGGAAATGATTGGCAGCGAATCGAGCCTAAAATGTTGGTCCTCGAAAGGTTACTGTTGGTGTAGAATATTCTGCTGCAGTAGGTATATGCTTGTGAAATAATGAGCTGGCAAATGGTCACTAAGCCACCCACAAAACACCTGCCCAGCATTAAATAAACTTGCTTGTAAATTTCGCAAGCCCTGTCCAGTCTCCTCTACACAGAAAAAAATATCTCACAAAACACTTGACTCTATTAAATTAGGAAACCGCGGCCTTTTAAAAACTCAAACAAATTTTGGATAACTGCTAGCATACGAATAATTAAAACTAATCTGGGTTGCACACAGCTATTTGATTGACAAAAGACAAATTTATTCAGCAAGACATATAGTATTTTACATTATTAGCCAGGTACGTGAGTTTACTGGCGATAGGAGAAGTTGACTGGCGAGCCTGTCATCTCCTAGAGCCAGTAAAAACTATTACCTGGCGTATAATGTACAATATTTTGTTTGTTACTCATTTGTAAACGTAAATAATTAGTTCTTAAATTGATCTCGAAGAAATGTCTAAAATATCATGTTATCCATGTAACAGAGACTTCGCATTAATTCTGGCCAATGAAATTACTAGATTACTAACTTGTAAAATTTTTACACGTCAGCTGTCAGTTTTACAAGTGTGTAGCGTTTAAAGATGACGTTTACCCGTTTGCGTTTTGTCTTGTTAATCAACGTTTACAACTGAGTAACAAATAAGAAAATTAAACATAATCAGAAAGTAAGAGTCAGATTTACACAGACCACGCATGCAAGCGATCGATAAGACAATCAAAGAAATCTTAATTACAGTTTTTAATGATCCAATAACTGATCGTTAACTGCGATATTCTGATGCACAAAGAACTGAATAAGCACTCACTGACAGCTATACAAAAAATTCTTTTCTATTGCACTTAATCTTGAAACTGTATGAACTCACTTACGTAGTAAATTCAATCTCTTATTAGATACCTAAACTTCCTTCTACAAAACTTGATTAGGATAACGAAGAACAGCGTCTCCATATCCAAACAAGGGTGACTGCCCAAAACGTGCGTCGTGCACTAATACTGTCGGACAAACGGCGAAACAAAGAGCCCGTTTTTCGTTATATTCTCCTATTAAAATAATATGGATCTGCTCTACCTCCTTAAAAATCTCCATCTCCAAAAACAAATTTGAATAACGCCAGCTTCGAAGTAAACTGCACACTGTTTTCTTATCGGCGATAACACGTGTATAAAAAAAATTGCAATGGTAATATTCTACGCTACATACTACAAGAACACGGAAATAAAATCAACCCGGCAACGTTTAAAAATGACCACTGGAATCAGAATCGCGCTTAAATTTGAAAACGAAAAGTGGCCCGTGATCAAGTCTCAAGTCAAGAAATTCCAACTCTCTATGCTAATAAGCGAGATCTCTATTTGAAATAAAGAAGTTAATGGTTACTGGCAGTGGAACAATGATGGAAATATTTTAGAAAGACAGATTGAGATAATGTTTTATTATTAATAGTTATGAATTTCAACTCTCCCCGTCTTATATACAATCTCGATTTATCTCTTATCGACACACTCGGTAGATGAAAATCGATTTTTTTAGCATATTTCCACGATATATACAGGGTGATTCAAATTCGAGAACCACCATGGGGATTTCGGGAACTGTAAGAGATGGGTCGGTAGTTTAATTTGGCAAAGTTGCATATTTTGATGATTAACAAAATGCAGTTTTGAAACTTTAAAAATTCCGACTACTTTCGGAGATATCCGGAAAAGGCGAAACTTTGCAAAATGTTTTAATTTTTTACCCCTTTTGTCCCTCTACAAGATGCTACTTTTAAGTTTGACGTTTCGTCTCCAGTCAATCATCGTTTTTTCTTATGGAAGTAATTTTTACTTTTTGTGTCATTTGATGGAGAATTTTTTTCTGATTTCAAAAATATAAACATCACTATCTTTTAATCATAAATAGCGCTATTAATTCGTAAAAACGCAATAAGCTACGTACGTACACTATCTAAGACAAAGTTTTCTAGGTAAAACAGAAAAAACAAAGTTGATGATGACCAACCGGAGACGAAACGTCGGATTTAAAATTTGAAACTAGCATCTTGCAAAGAGAAAAAAAGTGGCTATAATAATGTGTTATTTATTTCGAAATATCTTTTTAAATAACTTCAGTAAAAAATAAAAACGATTTTGCAAAATTTCTGTTATGTTAAGCATAATAATACGCAACTTTGCCAAATTTAAACTACCTATCTATCTCTTGCAGTTCCCGAGATTCCCATGGTGGCCCTCGAATTTGGATCAGCATGTATATAATAGTCATATTAGACGGGGTTTTGATCACATTTAGACAAAATAAACGAACAAAGGCTATCCAGGGCATCTTTGGACCTGAAGTGGAATATTTGGAAGAAAGTGGCTTATTAAGGGTAATGAAATGACAAATACCTTTTATGGTACCTATGCACATGTAACGGTGGGAAATTAAATTAAAGCCATTCTGAAAGAACGACATGAAGAATCCTTGAGGAACATCTCTGGTCAGAGAAAAGCCAAAGTTTTATTAAAGAGGTGCCTCTGTCCAGAGCTAAAGCTTAGTAGGTCTTCTAACAGGTGCAGGATGTTTCCTGGCAATGTGCATGCACATTTTCCTAGCGACGTCTACCCAACTCCATGTTTCTTGTTTTTTTAATAGATAGACAATGATTTAAAAACGGTTGTCAAATTAGGTACCGAAAGAGGTTGGTTATTGTGCATTGTTCTTAGAAAAATAGGAAACCAAGATATGTAAGGAAGCTCAAATAAGTCCGTTTGTTTACACAATTGCCATCAGTGCATAGGACCCATTTTTAGAAAATTGTGTTTCACCCATTTACCAGAAAACTTTACCTACCTATAAATGGCATAATTCAATTTAATAATATAGTCTCCATTCAGATTGTATTATATTTAGAAAGAAGAATTCTCTGTCTATAAAATAACAAATAAGAAAACTTAATTCCGGTGAATTGTTTCAATATAATAAACATGAATTTGATCCATACGTTTACCGTGTCTTAAATGTGTTCTATCCCCCGAATGCACAGCTCAAATTGTTGGGACAACCAAAGCCGGGATGTGTACAGGGTGGCCAACTAAGAATGCGAGGTACTGTATCTGAGAATGTATCCATCGTAGAGGCTTGCGGTAAAAAAAGTTATTACTAAAACGGCCATGAGCACAACCTGGAAAATATTTTTAAGTTTCTGAAATGACCGCTAGAGGGCGTAACTGCAATCTGGAATCTAAAAAAGTGATTTTTCTGTGAATTCCGCTATATTAATCTAACAAAAAATATCCGGTCTTTGAAGATGACGATAATCTTAACCTTTTTTGTTAGGCAATTTTTCCTGTATCTCTAAAAATGAAGTGGGGGGGGGGGGGCATTCAAAGGCTTCCGTAAAGAACACCCTGTAACTTCGAAACGGCTGAGCCGATTTAAACAATCTCGGGTTAGTTCAAAGAGCTATTCTTCAGCTACAAATACAATATTATATTATTATAATATAATATTTGAAGTTTTGTTAGTTTCACATATCACCGCTTGAGGGCTTTTTTCGACATTCCCAAAGAAATGGTTAATTTTCTCAAAAAAATTAAATGCGTAGGTATGATTTTTTTTCATGAAAAAGTAGCTCAAGGATGCCTAAACAAGCCCGCGAAAACAGCATCTCGATATCTTGAGATAGATAGATATATCGTGATGGCCAGCATTTCTTTAAAAGCTTCCTTTTTTTAAATCGATCTACCTTAGGACCCCAAATTATATAATAAAAATAATTCCGGAAAAATTAACTTAAAAAACTAAAATTTTGAGGGTATAAAATTTTCATTGCCCTAAATTTTAAGTTAGGAACAAGATATTGAGATGCGGTTTTCGCGAACTTGTTTAGGCATCATTTAGCTACTTTTTCATGAAAAAAAAATCAAACTAACGCATTTAATTTTTTTGAGAAAATGAACCATTTCTGTGGGAATGTCGAAAAAAAGTCCTCAAGCGGTGATATGTACTAACTCGAATTTGTTTAAATTGGCTCAGCCGTTTCGAAGATACAGGGTGTTCTTTACGGAAACCTTTGAATACCCCCCCACCACTTCATTTTTAGATACAGGAAAAATTGTCAAACAAAAAAGGTTCAGATTATCGTCGTCTTCAAAGACCGGACATTTTTTGTTAGGTTAATATAGCGGAATTCACAGAAAAATTACTTTTTTACATTCCAGTAAAGTCACGAGCCTAATGGATTGCGGTACTTTCTATATTTAATGACTTTAGATTCCAGATTGCAGTTACGCGCTCTAGCGGCCGTTTCAGAAACTTAAAAATATTTTCCAGATTTTTCTTGTGGCCGTTTTAGTAATAACTTTTTTACCGCAAACCTCTAAGACAGGTTCCCAGATACAGTACCTCGCCTTCTTCTTTGGCCACCCTGTACACTGCTGCCGGGATTGCCCATTGCTGGGATAACCGAAGCCGGGATGACCATGGCCCAGGCTCCTTAGGGGTATTAATATGCACTAAAAATGCTACAACATGCCAATACGCCTTAACACCGAGACACAGGGACCTGATAAGGGTACATTCACTGCAAAATTTAGATATCGAGTAAATGGATTTAGAAACTGTTTTACTCTGGAGTGTAGCAGTATAGATTTATCATAACCAACAGATGTATCTTCCTTGTTCTTTCCCTACAGGATGCAAAAAAAGCGAAATGTCCAAATATAAGTACCGAGCCCCACATGAAAATATCTAGAGGGAGGGGGAGGGGATTTGGGAATTTATAGGCTTTTCTATTTCCTTTAGATTGTTTTATATTGAAAAAGGGAACCTCATTGTATAGTAAATATTCATCATATATTTACAATTTTGAAAAAGATCTAATAAATACAATACCTTTTCTTCGCAGGATTATTACTACATCTTTTTTTTGACAAAATTATAACTAAGCATTCTTAATTTTACAGCAATTATAAAATAATTTTTCGTACGTAATAGTTATAAATTTTTGTATTATTGTATAACGAAATTTGTTTAATATTAACAATTAGTTGAGCACACCATGTACGGATTAAGCCGCTCTGTGAAACTATACCAAACTGTGAGTGGGCCAGAGCTCGAGTGTACAATAATAAACTATTTGTGAAACACTTGCAACAAAAAAAACGATAATACTGTACGTAGTGATTGATTTAAATAAATTGGGAATTTCTCTGGCAATTTGCCAGATTTACGAAACACCCTGTATAAGAAAATTAGTACAACACACTATCTAAAATGTACACTATACAACGTTAACATGGAATTGTATATTGGTATACAATTGTAAGGTTGAACTCTGTTCTTATGTCACACACGGCAAATCCATCGAATTTATCTGGCCAAATGTCCTTGATCGTAGAATTTCAAAACCAGATGTACTACAATCACAAATTAGAGATAACAAATATTTACAATTTCTCTCGCTAACTAATCTATACCTACATTATAAAAAAATCACATTTTTTAAACACGATACTAAAACGTCGGCTGTAGTAGGAAATATGTCAATGTTAACAAAAAAGAAAATTAAAATAAACTTCGACAGCTGCACGTTAGCAAATTAAAAGTGCCTTCGTTATTTACAATAAAATCTATTAAGAACGGGTACAAAAATACCTGAAAAAAATCTGTGTATAATAAAATTTCAAATTACAAAGAAATCTACATCATTCGTGATATGCTAGTTAGGATCGGTGTAAATTTCAAAATCACATGTTGTGTAATACTACTTTGATCAATCGGATGCGCAGTGAAGAGTGCGACAAGTTAAACCACTTTCTTAGTGGCCGACTCAAACGTAATGTTGCTCTAAGATAGTTGCGACGCATCTTTTTTTTTGTTAGTAAGAAACTGAATTCTCAAGCAACTTTCTGAAAGTAATTCTAGTTGTAGAATAAGCTGTCGTGGTTGGTTTGGTAAAATTTACCACAACAGGAGTTTCTTGTTTATTGATGTTAAAAAATATACAGAGGGCGCCATAGACAAAAATACCTGTTACAGTACATTTGAGACTTAGTTTACGTTAAAGTAGCTTATTACTGTTTTGAGAAAGTTGTTTTATCAATTCTCTATAACAACATTGGCTCAGTTTGAGAAACGCCCCCTGGCGGCCAAACAGGGAAAAATTTAAGCCTGAAAAATAAATATGTTTGACAAAGAGAGCATTTACTTTACCCCACGCCGCATTGGGCGTTAACTTTAACACATCTTTGAATTACCCTACACCTATAAAATTTAGAATCTTTGTGGTTTTGAAATTTACGATTGGTCCTCAGGGACATCACCAACCTCTTAACATTACATCGGTTTTATTCTGTTAGAACTAAATGATTTAAATTAAAGCATTTTATAAATGTACATAATACTATAAAACTTTTGTAACTATAATACAAAATCACAATCAAGTTAAGAATAAAATTTTAAAAATTCTTAATGTCAGGGAGCCTTATGTACGACACACACAGCTTTATAGTTCTCCTCGTCTAAATCCCATTCGGATGCGACCGCGCATCCAAAGTGCACCACGCTGACGCACCCCCTTTTAATACAACACAAATTAGCGCCCCGATATCGACAGTGAATACAAATAACGTTACACGAAGTCCACACAGCCTCTTCCAGTCCGATTATCTTAGGTCCGACTAGGTACACGCCGGGTGACCACACGATGCAGTTCTCGTGCGCCCAAACCTCGTAAACCTTGTCCTTGGTCTCGGTTATTCCCAGATAGACGTCCTCGTTGCCCTCGAACGAGCTTCGGCTATCGTACGAGTCGGAATGTTTCCGTTTCGACTTTTTACTAATCGCCTTATTGATCGCGACCGAACTAATCGCTCGCGATACCTTTTTACTCTTGAACTGTTGATCGTACGGATCGTCCAGCCTCCTCTGGTACTCTGGCGAATCCGTGGTGATGATGTAGGGGCCGAAGAGGTCGCCCGGTGCGGGAATCTGCACGTTCATGTTGAAACGCGACGGTCCCGACAGGTGAGGGTCGGTGGCGTGCGGCCCCCTTTTGCAGAACACGCAGATCCACGAGGCGTCCCGAGTTTGCGCGTCGTACTTATTACTTAAGGTGCTACAGTGCAGGCCTCTCGATCGAACCTTATGCCGGTATTCGGTGTCGTCGTGGTATTTTTTCGATTTGTTTACCTTCCTTTCGGTATCCTCGTCGTTTGTGGGCGTGTTCACGACGTTAACCGATATCGGCGACTCTCTGGGCCCGCGGATTTGTATGAATGGGCCTCGCGATCGACTCGAGCTCGCGTTGCTTCCCGAGTCGTAAGCGTACACGTCTTTAACTAAGTCTGCTTTTGTCACGATCGGCTTCACACTCCCTTTACTTTTAAGCTTTTTACAATTAATTTTTATTTTCCCCACAGTTTCTTCCGTTTTTAATTTTTTGCTACCTAAATACATAAAAAAAGGAAGGCATTAAATTATGAAAGATCAAAGAGCTGATTGTTAATTAACCACATCCGTGCTTAACTTTGATGGCAAAGTGCATGGAGGTACTGTAACGCAATGCAAATACTTGTTATGGCAAACTGGAAAATTGTGATTGACTTTTGACAATAATTGTCAGAGTAAAAGTGTACAGTACCAATGCTACAGTATAAAATAATTAAAAGAAAGCTCAAACAATTAATAATGGCGGTAGTACCAGTACAATATTGGTAGCAGAATCTCATGTTTTGTTGTTAATGTCATCACCCGCAGTATTATGGACAGTGTAGTAACACCAGTAGAACTATGTGATTTGTCATCAACATCATTAGAGCCCCTTCTCACGAGGCGTTTTTGAAGCGCGGCTGGTAGCAAAACTTTGCTTTATATGGGCGGCTCTGTGACGCGCCTGCGTGACTTGTAGCCTTAGACCTATATAGTATGGACTGCTATTTCCCCTATTTTCAATAAAATGGATGGTCGGGATAGAGGGCACTGTAGTCGGGGTTGTGAATCTCAGGGTAAACTAAAGTCGTGTAAATACCACTCGGATCGCTTAAAGAGCAGCATATAGTAACCGCGTAGTACGGAAGCTTTAAATGCTCTTCATTATTTGCTATACGTCCACAAATAAGAATAAGTTTGTTTTTTTTGGGATATCTAGGCGATTAATTAATTGACGTTTTTAATTTATAGGTTGACAGTCTCAAATCGTGTCTCATCGAACAACTTCGGACAGACTCGTTACCCTGAAACTCACATACCAGGCGATGGTCCTTGACTATTTTAGTTTACAATTAGCAGTCCATGTACTATATTGGCTAGCTTGTAGCGCATAAACGCGCGACCCCTTCACGCGGAAAGTTGTGCCCGCGCCACAGTAGCCGCAGCAAAGAGTGCCACACAATCGCGTACCGCTACTCAGCCGCGCCATCTCTAGCTCTTTAAAAACGCCTCGTGAAAGGACTCTACTCATACACATGTGCGGCGGCCGCAGTAAACTTAAATTCGCAGTAGGTCTACCAATCATAAGACATTACAACTTAAAAAAAGTTTCCAACCAGCAGGGCTGATACCCAGAAGCTCAAAATTCAATTCGTAATTTTTTATAATATAATAATAATAATAATAATGCTTTATTGCTCAAACAGAATAAATCCAATAACAGGACAAAATTAAATTCAAGTAGAGAGTGATAACTTAATAACATAATTTATAAAAATAAAAATACTTAAATAATTTAAATCAAAATGAACACATATAGAGTAAGTAGATATCATAACCTGTGATTTACAATATAAAGAATATATGACTTTTAATTTGTAATTAACTGAATAATAGATTAAAGTTTCATAAAAAAAATATCACTTGAATTCGAAATTAAATTATAGTCTTTACACATGGTGTATTTAGGAGATTTCTCTAAAATATTGGTTTTCGCCAACGGTATGTAAAATGTAAAAACATGCCTTGACGACAGTCTAGGCACGGAAAAACTTAAACACTATAACAGCTCACTGCAGTCCGTTTCGTTTTGTATTAACTTATACAAAAAAGTGATGCCTATACGCTTTCTCCGAATTGCAAGTGGTAATAAGTCGAACCTTTGTAACATAATTTCTTGGGGGTATCCTTGATCTGGGTAACGCCCATTACACCGAAACATTAAATATTTTGCAAAACGCCTTTGTCCTTGTTCAATTTCATCTATATATTTTTGATAGCCGCTATTCCATATTACAGACCCGTATTCCAGTTTAGACCTCACTAAGGACGTATACAGTGCCTTTATTGTTGACAATTTAATGAAATCCGTACTAGATCTACTAATGAATCCCAGCGTTTTTTAGGATCTCTTCACCATATCATGTATGTGATGCGTGAAAGTTAACATACTATCAAATAAAATGCCTAAATCCTTTATCATTACGTGTCTAATTAGTGCAGTGTCTCCAATAGTGTATTCATGCATTATTGGTTTTACTTTTTGGGAAAAAGAAATATACCTGCATTTAGAAACGTTCAACTGTAATTTATTTTCTCTACACCAAACATGAATTTTATCTAAGTCACTCTGAAGTATAGCACCATCAGATTTATTTGTTATTTTTCTAAAAATTTTCAGATCATCAGCAAATAGTAATTTTCTGGAACTTATTATTTTTGGCAAATCGTTGATAAATATCAAAAATTGAAAGGGACCTAAGTTTGACCCTTGTGGCACACCAAAGGTTGGAATAATGTATTTTGATGTGTGTCCTGCATAAACTACGAATTGTCGTCGATCAGTTAAGTAAGATTCGATGACAACTGCCACAGTATGAGAAAATCCATATTCCATTAATTTATTGAGAATAATATAATGATCTATTTGATCAAACGTATATATTACGTTGACTTGTCCTTGTTCGTCCATAATTAATTTGTTATCTTTTACAATTTGGGGACACACCTGACTGTATAAAATAAACCAGGTGCCAAATTCTTGACAGAACAGCTTCCTAGCTCAAAACCAACTTTTGTTTGTGTTTAATACTTATTATTATTACTAATAATTCATTCATTTTAAATGAATCATTTATTGTTGAAAGTCAAGCAACGTTGCTCCCGGTTAGTATTTGAATGGGCAACACGATTTTTTGCTCACGCATTTTATTTACTTTTATTAGAGCGACCTATCATCAAAATTTGGTTCAAATGAGTTCATAAATAAGAAAGTTGCGTTTTGCGGCTGCATGTTGCGTCATGCATTTTTTTTACTATTGTTAGGGGGACCTACCATCAAAATTTCGTTTAAATTGCTCCTTAAGTAAGAAAGTTGCGTTTCGCGCATGCGTAATACGATTTTTTGCGCATGCATTTTATTTGCTCTAGAGTCTAGACAGAGGGACCTACCATCAAAATTTCATTTAAATTTTTCCCGATATCTTATTGTAATTATAATGAACATGAAGGTATCGAAAAGAAAGAATTCAAAACATACCAATTTTCAATTTCACTTAACTGCAAAAATGATCTCTGAAATAGAAATGGTAAAAGGGAGCAAAAAAATTAAAAACGGCGCGCTATGTCCCAAGCGGTCACCCATCCATGTACTTCAGCGCAGATTACCCTATCTATACTATAGTATAGGGTAATATGTGAGTTCGGTGATCACACGACAACCAATGTTAGCAACGTGCTATGCAGCTGTCGTGAACGTTAGTGTTCCAACGCAGACAATAACAGATATTAATTAATATGTATTCTTCTTCCCCGCAATGCAGTTGCATACCTGATTTGGAACTGTTGGATTACTATAGCAGTAATAAATTTAATCCCAATAGTTTTTTTTACTTTTTCCGAAGTTTTGGAGGAAGACATTACCAAAATATTATTTAAATTGTCATCTAACGCTACTGGCGAGGACGGCATCAGTATAATTATGTTAAAACATTGTTGTCCTTTTCTAACTCCATATATAACTCATATTATAAACTACTGCATAAAATCTCATTCTGTACCTTCTGTATGGAAGTGTTCTCTTCTTAAACCAATTGCGAAAGTTGCATCACCTAGTAGTATATCCCATCTTCGTCCTACAAGTATATTACCTGCGCTCTCAAAATTACTGGAAAAAGTTATTGCTGCGCAGTTGACTGACTATATTAATCAACTTAATGTCCTCCCCGCCACGCAATCTGGATTTCGTGCTAGGTATGGTTGCCCTGGAGCACTTCTCGATATTGTTGATGATATATTAAAAGCTCTGGATCAAGGTAACTATTTATTATTAGCGCTTCTTGACTATTCAAAGGCATTCGACACTGTGAACCATTCTCTGCTTGTGTCCATTTTAGGTTACCTAGGTCTTAACGCTGAAGCAGTTGCATTTTTTCGTAGCTATTTATGTAATAGAAAACAATCATGTGCATGGGAAATAATCAATCAAATGATGTTACAGTATAGTCGGGAGTGCCTCAGGGTTCCATACTCGGTCCCCTACTTTTTACAATTTACACTGCGTTTTTATATAAGGACATAAAGTATACCAAAGTCCATATTTTTGCGGATGATACTCAAATCTATATCTCATTCCCTAAAAGTAGAATTCAAAGCGCCGTAAACAATCTAAATCTGGACCTCCAACAATTGTCAACAAATTCTAATAAATATAATCTTACGTTAAACTCTAATAAATGTAAAGTTATGCTATTTGGGAGTGAGAGGAATAGATACATCTCACTAGAGTATCCATGAACTGTATAATACTCCCACTTGTGGATAGTGAGAGCTAAAAATCTTAGCTCACTATGAATTCAGATTTGCGATTTAAGTTGCATATCTCAAAATGAATACAAAAACCATATTTTACGCTGAAATTGTTGTATTCTCATAGGCATTCATTAAACCAACATTTAAAAAAGTTGCTTTGTGATACTCTCATTTCAATTATTGTGATGTCGTCTACAGTTCAAACTTGGCTTCCTGTGAAAAAAGACGAATTCAAATCGTTCAAAACTCCTGTCTTCGGTTTTTATTTGGCGTCAGAAGAAGGGAAGGAATTTCCCATTACATTAGAAAGGCAGGTTGGTTAAAAATGGAAGATCGAAGGACGCTGCATTGCTACTGCACGTAATAAAAATGTTAGGTTGCAATTTGAAAAAAAAGTTCGATACCGTTGTGGCGCTCCAAAAATCAAAAATCCGGCCCGTTATTTTTTTGTTCCGTATGCCTAATAGATACATATCCAAAATTTAAACAAAATCCGTCGAGCCGTTTTCTCGGAAAATTGCCAACATACGTACGTACGTACATACAGACGGAAAAAAATTTATTCTTTGAAAGTAGTAAAAAATACATAATTTTTTCTAGTGTTTTGTATACAGTGTGACAAGTTAAAGGCGGAACATAGGGAAATAACATGGGAAAAAACATTTTCGACAATTCCTGCTCTCCATTTCATTCTACAGGAAAACATGCTTGGATAGATAATTAAAATATCCATCGGATGACATAAAAATACGCAACTGTGAGGTCTAATGCAAGTCTAAAAGTTAAATTAAAAATTCTAAAAATTGGTAAAAACTGGTTGGCCATGGAGTCACGTGTCGCACTTGCTAGGTACCCACTACAACAAATTGTCCCTTTGACTATCATCTCACTTCAACCACGAAAGGGTGAAATAATTACACTATAAAAGATTGGCCTGTCATTAAACTTCACTGAATATCCCGAACTTCACCGTGTTTATTCTTTTTTCTGTAGTGTAATTATTATTCATGTTGGCGTGTTTAATCAAAGAATTAGGTGACAAATGCGGTAGGTAAATCAAGGCCAACTAATTTTTTACTACCTTTTGGATTTATTTATTTAACTTTTGTACTTTTAAAAAAGGGCTTAGGCGCGCTTTTTTGGTGACATTTAATGCCGATTTTAATTATCTATCCGAGGGTATTTTTATTTTTTCTTTAGGTTAAAATGGGGAGCAGGAATTGCGGAAAATGGATTTTCCTCGGGATTTTCCCATGTTATTTGTTGTGTTGTGATTTTGTTTTATATTTTGATGTGTTAACAAATTTTGATATACCCATATATAGTTTAGAATAGTAGGTACAGTTCCATTTGAAAAGGTACTGTCACTTTGCAGTAACCTTTTTGTGTTCAGTGGGATTTTTGTCAATGATCTTACATCATATTATTAGTAACGCCCTGTATACTATACAGGGTGTTTTGTGGGAGCTTTAGTTAAAAGTTTCTGGGAAAGTAAAATAGGTAGGTTTTTAAAAACTTGTACTTAGGAGTTACTCTGAAGGCCTAATCGACGTAAAATATTTTCAAAATAGCCGCACTTCCGGAAATACCGGAAGTGGCTAGTAACTTCGTTATTTTAAATGGCAACCCCTATTTTTTATTGCATTTTTGGATTCTACGTGAAATTTCAGTTCTTTTGACACCCACATGTCGATATCTGCCATTTATGGTTTTTAAGTTATTTTGACTTGAAGAAAAAAAATGGCGGATGCAGATGGTACCTTGATAATTGATTACTTGAAAACGGTGATAGTCATGGCAACCTATTTTTATCAGTGCATAGAGAATGAATAGTACTTTCTTTTAGTCCACTTAAAAAGTTAAGTTGCGCACGACCGCCCCTATGGAGATCCAAGTTTACGAAACTTCAAAGACTAAAAACTCATTTTTTTTAATGGAATGACCATTTTCTTACTATTGCATAAAAAAAGAATCGAAATGGGCATATTTTGACAATACCTTTTCCTATAGCTATCTTTAACACTTTCTGACTTATTCCCATTTAATTGAATTGACACTATTTTTTTCGGATTTTCTTTTTAGTAGTCGGCCATGATTTTATGACAATCGAATTTTAAACAAATCTAGTGACACTAATCCGTCTGTTATAGGTTAACATAAGTTTTTCAAAAATCGAAAAATGGCTCGCAGTGGTTTCACCTATTTTGGAATTTAATTGTTATTTATGGTGAAATGAACAGAATCGCAGCATGTGCTTGCCGTACATTCATTCGAACACTGGAACGAAATTATATGAATTTTGGAAATGTTGTACCCCCAAATGCTACAAGAGAATATTTAAGAAAATGAATTGAATTGTGTTTGGAACACAAAGGCTCTCATTTTGAGCATGTGTTGAAGAAGAGAGGGTTTTAAAATAATTTGATCCTATTTTCATATAAGCGTTTTCATATTTAATTACTCAATGATATAAGTTTGTGTTTTCCAATTATAGCTGATCACATTGTTCTTTTTTATTAATGAATTATTTAGACTAGAATCGATGATATTAAATTAAGAATCCTTTCCTTGATTTGTTTAAAATTCAATTGTTATACAATCATGGCCAACTACTAAAAAGAAAATGCGAAAAAAAATGGCATCAATTCCGAGATCAATTCAATGAAATGGGAATAAATCAGAAACTGTTAAAGATAGCTATAGGAACATGTAATATCAAAATATGCCAATTTCGATTCTCTATCTCATGCAATAGTAAGAACATGGTCATTCCATTAAAAAGAAAACTGAGTTTTTAGTCTTTGAAGTTTCTTAAATTTGAATCTCCACAGGGGCGGTCGTACGCAACGTAACTTTTTTTTAAGTGGACTAAAAGAAAGCCCTATTCATTCTCTATGCACGGAAAAAAAGGGTTGCCATGACTACAACCCGAGCTACAACCGTTTTCAAGTAATCAATTATCAAGGTTCCATCTGCATCCGCAATTTTTTTTCTTAAAGTCAAAATAACTTAAAAACCATAAATAGCAGATATCGACATGTGGATATCAAAAGAATTGAAATTTCACGTAGAATCCAAAAGTGCAATAAAAAAATAGGGGTTGCCATTTAAAATATCGATGTAACTATCTACTTCCGGTATTTTTTGAAAATATTTTACATTGATTCGGCCTTCGGAGTAACTCCTAAGTACGAATTTTTAAAAACCCACCTATTTTACATTCCCAGAAACGTTTAACTAAAGCTCCCAAAAAAACACCCAGTATTGATATCTTTACAGACCAACAAAAAGTATTTTGATCTATCCCTAATAATCATTTCGGCAGAAGTCTCTTATCGGACAAATCGCCTGGAAAATTTCTCCGATAGGTATCTCGCACGATTAGGGCATTGTGAGCGGGTGCGCCGTCCTGTTCTAGGTCCTGATTTCTTTTTAAGTGCCGTGCATTGTTGTATCTTGAATAAAAATGCTACTCAATACAATACTTAAGTACTTTTTTTATGGACCATATAAAAAAAATAAAGTTGATGATTTCTCGAAAATGAAACATATTAAAAATTTCTCACTGTTGTCTTGTAGAGCTCAAATAACATCAGAAAACTTAAAAAAAAAGGTTTTCGCCCTAAGGCAAGTAACTTTAGTGCATTTTCCATACATTGATCAGTGTTATAAGAGCTATGTGAATTTTTTTTACTAGAAACATCTATGGTTGAAATTTCAAAGAAATGTCTCCATAAATAAGAAAATCGGCATTGCGTAATTGCGCATCTGATTGTTACTAGGTATATGCCATTTCTTATGTGATGTTATTTACCGCTATCTTTTGCAGTACCTACTAACTATTTTTCTGCTTGTGCCTTGGCTAACTTCGTGAGACATCGAACATGTAAGAAGAGCAAAATGTTTATTTCTACAACCATTAGGGGGAAAAAGCGGCGAATGAGCAATCTAGTCCACAATTATTTTTCTGGGTAATTTAACCTTCAGAATGTCAATTGATGGTTATTTAACTTATTTAAAGAAGATTACAAGCTTGAATCTGCAATTTCATAAAGGCAAACAAGAGTAGTTTCCTCCCTTAAAAAATATTAAGCAACCCACAGCGCATGTTCATATTTAAAGGGGAGGGTAAGTAGAACTTGAAATTTTTTTGAAAAATCAGTGCGCCGTATTTTAAGTTCAATGGCTGGACTACTAATCACGTCTGTATGTTAATCTGTTAATAGCATACAAGAGAAAAACAAGTACTCTCACTTTGCCAACAAAGACAGATCTATGGTTATTTGACAATCAAGTTTCGTATAGTAAAATATCTCCTACCTTTCTTCTTCTTCGGCGAAAAATCCACAGACGTCGAATCACTAGACCGCCTCGCTTTACTTGACTTTTGTCTTACACGTTTATTCTGAGTACATAAGTCATTTGACGTCGAGGTAACACTGTCATTTAAACCACTCGCAGCATCTATACTAACGTCCAACTGAACTACGGCGTCGTCTTCCGCTTTACTCTCGTCCAACTCCAATATTTTGGAATCGTCATCGTCCAATTCCACTTTCGGCGAATCATTGTTGTCGTCCGTAATTCCGGCAAACATCTCTTCCAATTTGTTCTCGACCTCGACGAAATCGGTCATCTTCTTCTGAGCGGGCGTCTGAATGACGACCGGACTGGCGGTCGCCACCTCTCGCTCCTTACCTATAATCACGCTGACCGACATCGGCTTCGGGACGCACTGAGATTCGATCTCCTCCGGCTTTTCGGGGTTGGACATTTCGATCATGGCCGCAATGTTCGCTATCGTTTCCGATTCCGATGAGGTTTTCCTCCGAATCCTCGGCTGCTGGACCGGACTGCCCGGAGGTGCGCTGCCCGATCGTCTCTGTTCCGATTTAGTCTCGTCGACGAACTGCGGAACGATCGCCCTTTCGACGTCGTATAGTTCAAATTCTTTCGATACACGTATCGTCTTTGCCGGTTTTCGTTTCCGACGCGATTTACTGCTGTCGGTGCTGTCTTCGTTACTGTACGGCGACGTCACCTCCTCCTCTTTGGAGGCGCGCACGGTTGGCGACTCTTCCACATACGAAAGTGGGTGTACAATCACAGACTGGGCCTTTTCCTTTTCGGGCGAAACTCGCCTCTCTCGTTCGATAACGGGATTTAATCGCTCGATAATCGAATCCATTCGTTTCGCCGATCTCTTCAAGCTCTTCGGACTATCTTGCTGTTTTTCTATCGTATTCGTACTGGAAATGTTCGGGCTAATCGGCGGTTTAATGGGATGCGAAGGACTAGACGGGGTGAATATTTTGAGGATGGGGCTGTTCGATTTGACGGTCTTTAAACTTGGACTGATGGATTTTGTCAGTTCCACCGCCTGAATGTCGGCGGATCCGACCGGCAAACTGTTTATTTTATTCGCGTCGCGAACACTAAGGCTAATTGGGGTGGTGGGTAGTTCACCGTTTTGATTGCCATTCTTTTGCAGGCTTAAGTCGACCCCCGGCGAGTGACGAGGAAAAGGCCGCTCTGATATCATTTGTTCCAAATTGAATAGGTGCGAGTGCGGCATTGCTTTTACTGGCTCCGTTGTAGGTGTATGCCACGTGGATTGGTGCAAGAGTGGATGCTCATTCGACATGTGCGCATGCTGAGGTTGTCGCGGATAATAATTGGGCACCTAAAACACAAATGCAACAAAATGACACTTTCTATTGTAACATTTTATTTTATTATTTATCACAAAGCCCATAATGGAAGATGCTATAGTACAGGGTGAGTCAACGATTGCGCAGAGTAACTTAATGCCTTGAAGATACGATTTTTCGATAAGAGTGCTTTTGTATTATGATACGGTTGAATATTCTCCGCATTTTAAAAATATTTGGAAATATACAGGATGCGCCCTACATGGTACATTTTTTTAAATAGAACCCCCTGTATTTGAATGCATTTTTGAATTCTACATGTAATTGTACGTCTTTTTTATTATATGGTTAATATCCGAAAAGCTAGTAGCCCTACTTTGTGGGCGCACCCAGTATAATTCCAAATATTTTTAAAATGTGGAGAATATTCAACCATATCATAATTCAAAAGCACTTTATCAAAAAATTTTATCTTCAAGGCATTAAGTTACTCCGCGCAATCGTCGACTCATCCTGTACAAGATCCCACATAGAGCCAAACTTCGCTCATCCGTTTACTGAGTGAAATAAATTTTTTAGCAATCTTAATATGTAAAAAAACACATTGATACTGCATTGCCTACAAAAATTAAGTGAAACCTACCCTTAATTAACCCTACAGTGGTCGCTAGCGGACTCTCGCATCGCACCATTGATTGTTTTGCAATTCCGCGACTATTTACACCTCCACCGCTGTAATGCTCTTATCATCTGACAATACCTTTATAAAGAATCAGTGCTAACAGTCCGCTCGCTAAGTGTTGAATGTATCCAAAGTGGCTCTTGGTAAATGAAAATAAATCTACTTTTTATATTATTTTAAACTTTATTTATTTTTGGTATGTACATTATTCCTTTATTTGTAATAAACTAGATAGGTCCTATCACCTCCGTTTTGTTAGCAAACTCCGTTTTTGATTGTTTTCCGTTGGTCAATTTTTTGTTTTTTTGCTTGATTGTTGTGACAATGTAGTTTCGGTTGTTTTTAAGTAACGTTGGAATTTTATAAAATGCGAAAAACAAAGGAAAAGAATGTTGATTCGGCCCAAAAAAGCACCAATATATCGATAGTCTCTTTTTTAGTCAAACACGGCGTATAGGTTGGTAAAAATGCTTCGCACCAATTGCATTTTGTTTGCTTTTATTAGAGGGACCTACCATAGAAATTTCGTTCAAATTGCACCATACACAAAAAACTTGCGTTTTGTGCATGCGCAGTACGCTTTTTGCGCATGCATTTTGTTTGCTTTTATTATGAGGGACCTATCACACACATTTCGTTCTAATTACTCCATAAATAAGAAAGTTTGGTTTTGCGCATGCGTATAGACTATTGGTACGGTGCGGGGGTTACATGTAACCCGAATGTAGATGACGCCGCCTCGCCTCGCGCATTTATTCAAATCGCCGTCGAATCTAGAACGCGAGCGCGCAATATAGTAATACATAGGATAGGGCTCCTGTGAAAAGCATTATGCGGGTCACTCTGTAATTGGGCGCAAGGCTACTGAGGGCCTAGAACTAGAGAGGGATAATAAAATTTAAAAAAAAATGTAACGTAAAAAACGGCATGGTTCTATCTCCCGTCCTTTCCGAATAAACTACAAAATTGACATCAATAAGCAATGTGAGGGATGCGAGGGGAGTGCCACCCGACGCCACGGAACCGCAATCTAACTGCGAGGTCAACGCAACTCAATACGTCGTCTCGTTAACGCATCGGAGGGGGGGGGGGCTACCACTAATGTAAATGCCATCAAGTCTCAGGCTTGTATAGGACCGTTGACACATTGCTCGGCTTCGCCTCGCACATTAAAATACACATTTCGAGCTTCGGCAGTAAAAAATCCATATAGGAATCAGATGTAACAAACGGCACACTTCTAATCCTCGTCGCTTCCGAATAAACGCCAAAATAAGCGAAAAGTGCAATTTATGAACAATTTGAGGGGAGATCAATGAGCGACGGGGCTTGGGGGGGGGGGCTTAAAATTAATTTTATCTCTCATTGTATTCTAATTAAAGGTCTCAACGAAAGAAACAGTTTTCTACAAACGACTGCCCGTCTTTCTGTCAAAATACTGGGTGGAGAGGGAGTGGAACTAGTTTTATCCTTCATGGTACTGTAAGGTCTCAACGAAAGGAATTAATTTCTACCAACCATAGCCCTAATTTATAATAAAAACAAGAAATTGGATAACTAAAAACTGGCTCTTCTAAGAAAATCAGTGGTGCCATAGCAGTATCAGATCAAACAAAGCTAACTAATCTCAAAAATGAATTGCAGAAGATATACTTTGTAGAAACCAATTCCTTTAGATGTGTTTACACTACGCCCCCCTCCCCCCCCCCTACATGGCACAACTCGAGACATGCATATGCAAAATCTGAGATAAATTGGTTGTCATATGCAAAAGTTATGCACTTTTTACTTTCAGAAACTCAGGAAATAACGAATGGGGCACATTGAAGGTATAGAACAAATCCCCTAAAATTAGTTCAAATCCGCAAAAGTGGACCCGAACAGATGGACGGACAAAACGCAAACAATGGCCCGTTTGTTTAATTCTTAAAAAATGCGCTAAGAAATGTAAAGAATCGAACCCGAGCCGCCCCGTTGCAAGCCGAATACCCTTTCCACTAAACCATTATGGCGCAGATTCAATTACGATTAAATGGAGTTCACATTCCGAAATGGTTGTGGGGAAGGGTCAATTTTCACATTCATGCGGACGCATCTGCAGCAGGGACCCACGTCTGCGGTTTTGAACTACTTTTAGGGGAATGGTCTGGAGGGGGGGGGGGCGAATAGAAATTAATTTGATCTCTCATTGTATTCTAATTAAAGGTCTCAACGAAAGAAACAGTTTTCTACAAACGACTGCCCTTCTTTCTGTCAAAATACTGGGTGGAGAGGGAGGAGGGAGTGGAACTAGTTTTATCCTTCATGGTACTGTAAGGTCTCAACGAAAGGAATTAATTTCTACCAACAATAGCCCTAATTTATAATAAAAACAAGAAATTGGATAACTAAAAACTGGCTCTTCTAAGAAAATCAGTGGTGCCATAGCAGTATCAGATCAAACAAAGCTAACTAATCTCAAAAATGAATTGCAGAAGATATACTTTGTAGAAACCAATTCCTTTAGATGTGTTTACACTACGCCCCCCTCCCCCCCCCCTACATGGCACAACTCGAGACATGCATATGCAAAATCTGAGATAAATTGGTTGTCATATGCAAAAGTTATGCACTTTTTACTTTCAGAAACTCAGGAAATAACGAATGGGGCACACTGATGGTATAGAACAAATCCCCTAAAATTAGTTCAAATCCGCAAAAGTGGGCCCGAACAGATGGACGGACAAAACGCAAACAATGGCCCGTTTGTTTAATTCTTAAAAAATGCGCTAAGAAATGTAAAGAATCGAACCCGAGCCGCCCCGTTGCAAGCCGAATACCCTTTCCACTAAACCATTATGGCACAGATTCAATTACGATTAAATGGAGTTCACATTCCGAAATGGTTGTGGGGAAGGGTCAATTTTCACATTCATGCGGACGCATCTGCAGCAGGGACCCACGTCTGCGGTTTTGAACTACTTTTAGGGGAATGGTCTGGAGGGGGGGGGGGGCGAATAGAAATTAATTTTATCTTTCGTGCTATTATAGCGAGCGATAATACAATCTTGATAGGTTTTATATGCCTAAAACATCCCAGTCAGGATTATGCAGAATCATAAAGCATTAAAAAGTCATGGGCTTTTGATGAATGGCCTTTCATCGCTTTTGATTCGTGGAGATGAACGAATACGCTAGGTTTCTTGTAAATTTATGTACAAGTATACAGTGTGACACGTCATTATTTTTCTTTTTTTTCCTGTTATATTCCGTAAAAATCCAATATGGCGTCCATAAGAAATAAGAAAGTAGTAGCCTGTAGCTTCTACGCCTAGCGTGCTATGTAATTTCTGGTAACAGATTCTCTGAAAAAAGATATCATAAAAGGTGCTAACGGAACCATCCATTTCCGACCGCTTATGCTATAGAACGAAATTTGACATTTTCAGTTTTTCAGTGATATCTCTGTTATTTTCAAAAATGTCAAATGCGTTTTTACTTCCAAAAAGGGGCAACTTTCTACCCCCTTACACTCCCTGTTACGGAATCCCAATGGTGTGTCATTAGAACTAATAACAAAAATCGAGCTTCCTCTAATAAGGTCTGATGACAAGCCGTTATTTGAAAAGCACCTTTATGTCAAAATTTCGGAAAAATTCATCTGTAACTAAGAAAGATGAAACTGCGCATGCGCAATCCATTTTTTAAAAGTCTTTTCAATTCGCTTTTATAAGAAACGTCCTCAGATACAGATACAAAAAAGCTGTTTTGCGCATGTGAAATACATTTTTTGACATGTGATTTCAATTTGTTTTTATAGAAAGCACATTCAAGAAAATACGCCTATAAATAAGAAAGTTGGCGCTGCGCATGTGCAATCCAAACCAAATTCAACTGTTCAATTTTCTGGTTGACAGATTCTAGCAGGTTCAATAAGCAAAAACAATTGTTTTAAGCAACCATATTTAGACAAGAAGAAGCTGGCACAGGACTCTTCCTTCTTATCTTTCACACTATGCAGGAAGGGTGCAAAACATGATTAGAACTAGATACAGACGTGGTGGTAATTGCAGTTTCCATATTCAGTGAGCTCCAAAAAGTGAGTCCGACTGAATGCTGGAACTCATGAATAGAGTTGGTCCAGATAGATGCAGCAGCATGTTGTTTTTTCACGTATTTACAGGTTGGGATACCATATCCGGAATCAGTAGAAAGAGGAGTAAAAAATTCTTACCTTGACGAGATTTAATATCTGGGGAGCATGCAAATGTTATTGTAACAATGAAGTTAATTTGAAAAAACTGTCATGTCACAGTCTAGATACAAAGTATCTTATTAAGTTTTGTTCCAGGTATCAAATTTCACAGAGATCAGAAGAATTTTTCGCATTTCCGTTAAGTCATCTGGGGGAGGAATTTTAAAGCACATTTTTACAAACCAAAAAGCACATACCGAAGACGTTAGACAAAGCCCTCCTTATTGCTGAGAAAAAAATAGAAAACAACACAAATATTTGATTTGATCACAAACCTTTTTCTGGACATACTGTATTGCTACACCCTGTATGCATAAAAACAATTGTTTAAAATATACCAAAGTACTAATTCCATAAGTAATCAACCAACCACTATAGATGATTGATCATCCCCACACGATTTGCAAGGAAGACTTCCTTCCACTAAGGGTTTTAAAACAAACCTTACAGAGAGATCCATAGGAGAAACATAATTTACAGAATAAACTACAAGTATCAATATGGCAGTTATGAGGTTTTTGATTTCCTTCTCCACATCTAAAACACAATTCATCAATACCAAGTGAGTTTATTGTCTCATTGCCATTTGGCCTGAACAATTGTTGTTAATGTCATTCATATTGATCAATGTTTCCAAAGTTGCAGTAGGTTCTGCGAGAATGTCTACACTGCTTAGAGTAACTTTACCTAATTGTCCATTTCTACACTTAATGCACGTTCTTGAAAGATGTAAGTTTTACGCCTGTCGCTCATTATTATAACTTGAACATTTTATTACTTGTCAAGCTAGTAACATCTATAATCACTACATAAACAAGACACCTTGACAACGATATAACAAGTTCAATCTACTGAATGCTTACCTGCAAGTGATTCCATGCTGTATTGGGTGAGGGTGGTTGCCTGGAGTGAGAGTGATGAGGTGGACCTCCAGACATCTTCGAGATTAAATCTGTATCTTAAAGAATGGCGGTTTCTTTCACGTTCGCTTGATCAGGCGGCATCATTAACTCCTCAAACTAAAACTTTGCATGTGAAAATACTGAAGCATTGCTTTCAGTAAGTCTGCATCTCCTGCAAAAATTACAGCTTCATATCAGACTGTCTTAACATCTTTTGATTCATCAATAAAGTGGGATAATGCAGGAAATTGAAATTGGAAACATTCCATTTTTGGGATTTATTAAAATTGACCACGAAGACATTTAGTGACAAACTATAATTCAGAGACAACTTGAACAGTTCGCAGTAATTAAGATCGAGAACAATGCTTGTAAAATACAAAATTATTTGTGTATGTATGGTATGCTGTGTATGTGTACTGTGTAATCCTAATCATTAAATCGCAGGTACATGCTTTGCGATCCTAACTCTAGGAGACTTTATAAATCAGCGATACGTCTAATACACAAAAACAGACCTAAATTTTCGATTCGAATCCCATGTGCACAAAAAAATGATGTTAAAAATATTTTAGGCAAGGCAATAAAGCAAGACTCGTAACAATGGCGGACCCGGTACGTGGTGCTCCCGCCATCTGTCGATCGTAAATCGTAACCTTGCAGGAAATGGCAAACGTGAAGGGCGATTTTTTTGTGAATCAATAACTACTCAACCAAAGCTATAATTACTAATTCTCACCTAATAGCCCCTTGTCCGTAAGGTGGTCGATTAGAAATTGCACGTTATTGAACTAAATCCGGTACGTAGCGATTCAAAAACAAACACATGTTTTTGACAGAAGTCATAAATTTTTTGACACACCATTGTAAAAGTCATAAGTTATTCAAATTCAAACTTTCACTAACGTAAATAATCGCCCGGAATTCTTGTATGCACATGTTATTAACAGAGAAATTATGTTTTTTCACATCATATAGGCACAAAATTGTGTGTAGAGATGGGGCTGGTATCATCTGTTGCAAGGAGGTAGAGATCAGTCCGCCGCCCGTTCCCTTGCTAATTATAAGGCCGCTCCTTTCATTACCCATTCAAACAGTCAAACTCCCAATAAACAATTTCCTAAATCGGATAGTAAAAGCAGAAGTAGTGCAGCGCCTGAAAGTCAACTAACATTTTTTTCAAGTAGAAAAAGTTTGATCTATCCATTAAGAAATGGTATTAAGTAGAGTATATTGCGAGCGACTATTTTATCAGTATCAAAGTCTGCACGTTCAACCGGCCGTTACTACAATAACAAAAGTCAAAAACGCCTTTATAATATAACGTTCAAATTTGGCACACAGACAGACATTGACGGGGAAATGATTAGACAAGTGATAGACTTTGAGATCTGAGGCAGGGGGGACTAACCGCTGCTTCTGAGTCGTGCAACCAGATACCATTGAATGTATTACAAATAAGTACTTTTTCCATCTCTTTCAGGCTGTAATCTTTCAGAAATGTTTGTTTTTCATCGATCTAAGACGAGACAAGAGACAACTTTCTATGAATTTTAGAGGTAAGCAAGACTACAGTATTTGCTATAGTTTTTTCACTGTACCTCTGTCCGTCCGTCCGTCCATCCGAGGGAGGCCTAAATCAGATGCCAATGTCCCTTTCATGAGTGGGACGTCCATTTTATTTGCTTTTATTAGAGGAACCTAAGTTGTCTATTGCGCATGCGTGGTTTTAGAGAGAAATTATAACTGGCGACTGATAACATTCCAAAAAAGTTAAACTTTTCGTTTTCACCCTGTATCTCAGAAACAATAACGTATTTAGATTAATTCTGTTTGTGGCATTAAAAGTTTCACAAAAAAGTGGCATACTTCACCTTCATTTTGGGAGGTATTTACTGGCAAATTTGACGTGAAGGAGATGCTTTGTGTAGGGGCAAAAGTTGTTTAGAAAATCTATAAAATTTTTGGAACCAGTTCTTTAGATTTCTTGGAATTTTCTTAGCATCTTCTTATTAGAATTTCTACAAAATTTTCTTGAAATGTTTGCATAGGTTCTTCTTACAATCTTTGGAACCTTTTAAAATCTTCAGAATCGTTACAATCTTTGTAATTCTTGCAACCTTCTTGCAATTTTCATAGAATTTTTTTTGAATCTTAGATTCTTACAATCTTATCCCGTAGATTTTTCGTAAATTTTAATAATCGTTTGATAGTAGGTATGGAGTTGAGCCTGCTGGAAAATTTTTTGAGTCGTATGCGAAAATATTTCAGCAGTTGGCCGGGGTGCGAGGTCAAATTTTGACAGTTGGCCCAGAATACAAAGTCAAATTTTGGAGGTTTGGTTCGCGTTCACAGTTGGGTTCGCGTTCACGTTCACGTTTGAGATCGCGTTCAGGTTCGCGTTTGTGTCCGTGTTCACATTTGAGTTCGCGTTTAGACTAGAAAGTATTACATGCGCAATGCGCATGCCCATTATGCAGTCAAACCACTAAGTCTAAGTAAAAAAAAGAATTCTTATTTATTCTTATTACTTTTTAGCGCATTTCCACAAAAATAAAAAAAAAATGCGCTATTGTGGCCACTTTGTCCGTCCGTCCGTCCGTCCGTCCGTCCGCTCGTTTTGCGACGCTACTAGTTTTTATCTTAAGAGCTATTGTTCTACTTTTTTCGCTATTTGGTTCGTTATGGTGTCGAGTCTTGTACCAAGGAAGGAATTTTTTCTGTACCGCTTACAAAAAAAGTTATTGTAAAAAAAACAAAAAACCGTTTTTTACATGTTCCATAATTTTACACTTTTGCCGTTTATTAACGATCCTAGAGATCGTTTATAATTTTGCATTGCTATCTGTCGCCTGCCGGTTGGTCTCTCCGTCTGTTCCTTTGTCTGTCTGTCCATCTATCTGTCCGTGTGAACGATAACTTTGTTTAGAAGTGTTCGATCGCTTTTACATCTCCGTTAGTTATGCACTGAATTGCATGAAATTCAATATGGGCATATGTATAGTCCAGGCGCTAATATAGGTATTGAGCATGCACTGGAAGTCTAACGCAGTTTGACTTTTGATTATTGTTGGGGGCATATAGTAGATGAAAAATATCGATGTCGTCGCATTTCCGCGATGGGCATAACATGAGGGGGAGGGGGCAAAGTCGCGCGCGTGGCGATTCACTTTATCGCTTCTAACTCAAAGACGGTAATAGTTAGAGCAATACATGAAGCGGCTATTTACAGCTACTTATATTGGCTACAGAAAATGTCCTAAAGATAAAAGTCGTACTTCTAATCGTTTCGTTACAAATAAATTATTTCGGAATAGGTATATCCAAATCCACTGAAAATCATATTTGCCACATATTTCTTGAATCTGTAAGACAATGTTAATAGTGTCGTTTATATGTTATAAGAGTAATTATAAAAGTACATAAGTATTGTCAACATATTTTAATTGGGATAATTCAAAAGATTGACCGATCACTAAACATGTTTAAGTAATGCAGAAATTACTTCTCACATAATGGCATCAGTTTTGGTAATGTCCCCTCGAATTAGTTCCAATATTAAATGTCTGCATATCCATCGAGAAGTAATTTTGGTAATCTTCAGAGTGATGATTCATCAAATTTTGATGTATCTACATCTGGCGTATTCCGAACAATTTATGAACGTAAAGGGTAAAATGCGAGGTAAAATGGTACTCATGCAATGCTCGCCAGCATTGATGTTATGCAAATCTCGAGACAGTTCAGCTCTGCAAATGCAAAAACTGTTCCAAAAAAAACATGTAATTGTTTATCAAATAATTCTTCTTGTTGCTTTTATTGCAAATGTGTTGATAAATGCAGAAACCCATTACAAACTAAAGAGTCTGACGAAGAGAGCGAAGGGGAGAAAGATTTGTGACTGGGTGCCCAAGTACGTGCTGGAAAATTGTAAAATTGACTGTATAAAATTATATATATTTATCTAATAACATCATTATTGAATTTATCTTACACATAAGAAATGTGCATTAAATATGATTTTTGATCGGATTTAGATATATTCCAAAATAATTTATTTGTAACAAAACAGTTAGAGGTACGACTTTTATCCTTAGGGCCTTTTTTGTAGGTAATATAAGTAGCTGTAAATAGCCGCTTCAAGCAGTGCTCTAACTATTACCGTCTTTGAGTTATAAACGATAAAGTGAATCGCCACGCGCGCGACTTTGCCCCCTCCCCCTCATGTGATGCCCACCGCGGAAATGCGACGACATCGATATTTTTCATCTACTATATGCTCCCAACAATAATCAAAAGTCAAACTGCGTTAGACTTCCAGTGCATGCTCAAACCCTTTAGCGCCCGGCCTAATAGCTTTAGCCATATAATACGCAATGCCAAAAGTTGAATCGAATCGATTCAAAATTCACAGTGCCCTTTTCGCATCTCGACCATTTATAAACCGAATTGCAAACTTTTATAAAAGTATTTGAATGAAATTTGATACATAGGCACTTGGAATAAAGGAAAATCAAACGCCAATTTCAAAATTTGGTTTTGCGCATGCGCAGTGCCAACTTTTTTATTTATGGAAGAATTTAAACGAAATTTGATACATAGGCACTTGGGATAAAGGAAAATCAAACGCCAATTTCAAAATTTGGTTTTGCGCATGCGCAGTGCCAACTTTTTTATTTATGGAAGAATTTAAACGAAATTTGATACATAGGCACTTGGGATAAAGGAAAATCAAACCCCAATTTCAAAATTTGGTTTTGCGCATGCGCAGTGCCAACTTTTTTATTTATGGAAGAATTTAAATGAAATGTGATACATAGGCACTTGGAAAAAAGGAAAATCTAGCGCTAGTTTCAAAATTTTATTTTGCGAATGCGCAGTGCCAACTTTTTTATCTATGGAACTATTTAAGTGAAATTTGATACTTAGGCGCTTGGAACAAAAGAAAATCTAACATTAGTTTTAAAATTTAGGTTTGCGCATGCGCAGTTCCAACTTTCTTATTTAGAAAAGCATTGAAATGAAATTCTTCTCATAAACTGAAATTGAAGTAGCACGTCAACAATGGATTGCCCATGTGCAACGCTATCTTTTATATTTGTGGCCGGATTTTAACGATTTTAACAGAAGTTGCATCTTACAAATGGGAAATGAATGCAAGTGGAAATGCGCTTTATGTAAATCGTTTACGATTACTTTTTAACTTGTTTACAGTTACAACAATGGCTCAGCAACCCGCAATTACCACGTACCCAATGTGGATGTACCAAAAGTGACTGTGGTATCCTAAAACCGGTGACAACCAACGACCCAGTGGCACCTGACCCCATTCCTAACACCATATTTTGCCGATGCACGACAGGGTGTGGAGTACGATGCGGGTCCCAGATAGCAGGAATTGCCTGCTCTAGTGCGGTGTATGCTCCGACTTATGCACTGCACAGAGCCCCCATCGAAGACATCGTCGAAGATGATGATGTTTTGATTTAGATAATGTTTAAGATTTTTATTTTTAGGACTCTGCACGTGCCTATACTTAAATAATTTTGTTAGTCATCTTCTTCCCTCCATATGCCATATTGATCCCAGCGAAGAGTTTCATTTTTTTACCAAAGGAGAAAATTTACTTATCTTAATAGGTTTCTATGTCAGCTCCCCCTGTGACTAAGCGACCTCTCCGTCTCAGGTCCTCGGAATCATGACATGAATTACAGTTGCATCCCTATACACTGTGCGTAAATGTCACTAGATAAGAATCACACACCGTTGTTGTTCACCGACTGCTGGCCGTTCAAAGTCCAAAACTTGGTCACCGTTCAAATTTCATTACTCGCCGTTTCAAAGTCTAAAGGTTGCTCACCGTTCAAAGGTTGCGCGCCGTTCAAAATCCAAAAATTCCCTCATCGTTCGATCGTTGCTTATCAAAGCGATGGTGATTTTGAGGTGTGAGATCAAGGTGAAGTTAAAAGTTCCTCGCTTACGTACTTGCTTACAACGTATTCTCACGCTTTTGTCTAGTAACCAAAATAACATAATGCGAATTGTGCAAATAGCATTCCGGTTGTTTTTCTTTACTGGTGTTATTCTGCCACATATTTTAGCGCATTTAAAGAATGATGCCTAATTTGTTTGCACGGGCCGGACTTCATCTTCGTTATTTAAACACTAATAGGAATGTAATTTTTGTATTCGATTAGGTATGTCAAGTATCAAAGACTTTCCGGGTAGGAGAGCATGGGAAACTGGCGTAAGCGACTTGGAAATATTTGTGTTATCGTCTTTCCCCCAGATGTTTAGACTTAGTGGTTTGTTATTAAACAGAGCTGAAATCATACAAATTAGTTACAGTATTATGATTTCCTTAACGGCGACTAAAACGGCGCTAAATGGTGCAATTGCTTTTACCTTCTATTTCCAAATTAAAGAAAAGAAATACCCTAAATAGATCCGGAAGGAAACGCCTGTTTGAGTTCGTCGAAGTACCGGGTGTTCATTAAAGCTGGTAGCTTCCATTATTATACGGCGCGTTCTTTAGTTCTCATACTTTTCCTGTACGAAAACGGGTACCTCATTACAACGTAGAATTGATAATAAACTTGCCTCTCTTAATTATCTTTTTAGCGCATTTCCACAAAAATAAAAAAAATGCACTCTTGTGGCTACTTTGTCCGTCCGTCTGTCCGTCCGTCCGGGCATTCGTTGGGACGCTATTAGTTCTTTATCTTAATTAAGAGCTATTGTTCTACTTTTTTCACTATTGGTTCGTTATGGTGTCGAGGCTTATTTGCACCAAGGAAGGAAATTTTTCTGCGTTTATTGCTAAAAAAGTTATTGTAAAAAATCCAAAAAAGCATTTTTTACATTTTCCATCATTTTACACTTTTGCCGTTTATTAACGATCTTAGAGATCGTTTATAATTATGTATTGCTGTCTGTCGTCTGTCTGTTCGTCTGTCCGTCTGTTCCTTTGTCTGTCTGTCCGTGTGAAAGTTAACTTTGTTTAGAAATGTCCGATCGCTTTGACATCTCCGTTAGTTGTGAACTGAATTGCATGAAATTCAATATGGGCATAGCTTCAGCCATATAATACGCAATGCCAAAAGTTGAGTCGAATCAATGCAAAATTCAGTGCCCTTATCGCAGTTCGACCATTTATAAACCGAATTGCAAACTTTTTTATTTATAAAAATATTTAAATGAAATTTGATACCTACATAGGCGCTTGGAATAAAGGAAAATCTAACGCCAATTTCACACACTTTATAATATAAACATAAAACAATGGCTAGAAATATAGTAGACGAGAACAGTGCACCGACAAGAGATCCTGGTAGTACGCCATTATTTAAATCGTAATAATAGGGTCTGTGATAATAGGTAATATAGATTTAGACATTGGGCTGTTATTTTAGTTTTAATTTATGACGGAGTATTCTAATCTTTACACGTAGGTAACGAAAGAATTTGCCACCTTAACAATGCTCCTCATGGACATTCTACCTGGAATTTTAATAGAATTTTTCTGGAGCGCAGGCAATGAAATGTTTAGCTACGGTACCGGTACTACAAGTTCTTTGTCATCCACACAATTAGGCACGTTAGTGGCAGTGCAGCCTACGGAGAGAGTTCTCATCGTCCCACGAACCCGATGCCATCGGCCTGTCTCTCTTTCACGGAAGAATTCTTGTCTAACTCGCAGGGTCTCCGCACGTAACCAACCATTGACTAATCAGTCCAATGCTGTACGTTTTGTGTTGTGGTCGTTACGCCGACTCGCTTTCGTAACGGCGTCTTTTTCTTCGATTGATAAATGAAAATATCGATGTGCGTTAATTTAAGTGAACGTTATGACAATTATTTTTAATATGGATACATCATGTGTATTTTTGGAGACGTCCCGTTCTCGTTTTATCTGTTGTTACTCATTGTTCGTTTAGGGGAATGCCAAACGTCTAATCTTACTGGTAAGAGCTTAATTTAATGTTTTAAAAAATCGTCCTTTCGGCGCGACAAGTTTGTTTACATATATCCTTCTCGGGGTTGACGTTACCTTTAAATGTAAACAAAAACGTTGAGTCAGGTGTTTCGAAACGTGCGGCAATTAAATTTCGTTGGTGGGACTACGAAGCCATTCATTAACATCTGCAGCAGTAGTAAACGGACCCGGAGCAGGAAGCGACTGTTTATTTTTTCTTCGATTTTTGAAGCGTTTGTTTAGAATGTGATTTCATTAATTCTGTTCGTCATTTTATGTGAGCTATAATTAGACTTTAATAAATAAAGTAACTGTTCTTTTCAATCTTCGCGATGTCTCCCAAGGAGATCGCGAAACACAATAATGATCCCCGATTTATCAAAATAGCTGTAAGAAACAAAACGCATTTTCTATGAGCAGCTAGGAACTCATCCGTTTTTTGTAAAACGATTGTGCCGAAGGGCTAACGTGAGATGAATTCAGTAGTAAATTTGACTCTTTCAAGCAGTTTTGAACAGAAATGTCTCGGTGGGAATTTTCTCATTGGTACAAAAAATGTTCATAGAATTCCGAGTAGAATTCATTAAGGGATTCTCGAGATATCGTTGGTTTACTGTTGTGACCTTTGCACCCTTTTGGAAATACTCTGGGGCAAAGTTATAATTTCGACCCCGTTGGACCTTATACCCCATTACTTAATTCAAATCAAAATTACATTTAGTCCACAAAATACAACGATCAAACGTTTCTGAATAAGTACTTTCCGCATTTATATGTACCCTTGGGCTTAATTATACACCGTTTGAACGCGGGTTTGCCTCGTGGTTTGTATTTATTCATAATAAATCATTTTTTATCGTGTATCGTAGATCTTACCCCCTTAAGACCTTTGCGTTCGTCAATAAAGTTGGCACCCCCACTTGTACCTATCGCATATGGAATTAATGTATGAATCTATAATTTAAGGTTAATTGTTCCCGCAAACCGTTTTGGGCGAATTTTCATAACAGTTGCAGCATGCGCCAAATTCAAAGAAAATCTCCACGAAATTCGAGAAATCTGTGTTTCTGATTTAAGACTAATTTGTACCCTGAATCTTTTTTGTTTCGTGAAAAATCTTGCTGAAATTCGAATTTTTAGTCATTTTTACGTTTTTTTAATAAAAAAATTCCCGAGAATTTGTATTTCCAGCGTAGGACTAATTTGTACCCATAAGCATTTTTTGAATTTTTTTCTGTTTAAATTCCGAGTCAAATTTGACAAGCTCGGTTTTTTGGGTTTTCTTTACGCCAAATCAAATCGACCCCGAATGGAAATTAAATTTAAAAAAATAATTAAAAACTCGGTGGGTTTTTTCGGGTTGGACCCTCGGTTGGACCCACTAGGTTTTTTCATTAGTGGGTTTTTTTATTTTGAAATAATTAACAAGTTTTTTGACTTGGGCTGGTTTGAAATAAATTTATATGGCTAAACCACGGGCTAAAGTATATTTTAAATTATACACGAATCACTTTTCATTTTTAAAATACAAAAATAAAACATACATACTTCCATTTGAGTTCGTTTAGTATTGGTTAACAATTCAAAACAGTTCAGAACTTGTATTCTTATTCTTACCCATAGTAAAATGCGAGGTAAAATGTAAAAGTGAACCACCACAACACAACCACAATATTGTGGCGCCTTTTTTTTCATATTGTCAAATTGTTTAATTCCGATCAAAAAAGTACTATTACCCACTTTTACCCCAAAAAGCCCTGAAATTCGAATTCTTAATCATTTTCGATTTTTGGGCTTTTTAATAGAACATTTTTTCGAGAATTTGTGTTTTCACCTCGGTTTTCACCTTAGGACTAATTTGTACCCGCAAGCATTTTTTTGAATTTTTTCTGTTGAAATTCCAATTTTTCTTCATTTTACAAGATCGGATTTTTCGAGAAAAACTCCGAATCGAGTGGACTTCTTTTTTGCGAAATTTCAGAAATCTGTGTTTCGAATTTAAGACTAATTCGTACCCTGAATCATTGCTTCTGTGATAAATCTGTCTGAAATTCGAATTTTCATTCATTATCGATTTTTGGACTTTTAATAAAAAATCTTCCGAGAATTTGTGTTTTCAGTTTAGGACTAATTTGTACCCACAAGCATTTTTTTCCTGTTCAAATTCCAATTTTTCTTCATTTGGCAACATGGGATTATTGGGTTTTCTAATTAAAGAAAAACTCCAAATCAAGTGAACCCCTTTTTGCGAAATTCGAGAAATCTGTGTCTCGAATTTAAGTAGGTACCCTGAATAATTTTTGTTGTGAAAAATCTTTTTTTTTGATTTTTGTTGGGCTTATTAATTAAACAATTTCTGAGAATTTGTGTTTCCAGCTTAGAACGCATTTGTACACTTATCTCAAGCATTTTTTAAATTTTTTTCTATTCAAATTCGAATTTTTCTTCATTTTGCAAGATGGGATTTTTGGGTTTTGTAATTTTAAAAAACGCCAAGTAAAATGGATCCCTTTTTGTCTCGCTTTTTGTGAAATTCCAGAAATCTGTGTTTCGAATTTAAGACTAATTTGTATCCCTCGTTGTCATTTTTTTTGTGAAAAATCCTAGGAAATCTTTCTGAAGTTCGAATTTTTCTCTGTGTTTCGAATTTAAGACTAATTTGTATCCCTCGTTGTCATTTTTTTTGTGAAAAATCCTAGGAAATCTTTCTGAAGTTCGAATTTTTCTCGGAATTTTCATTCATTTTTGATTTTTGAACCGTGTAATAAAAAAATTTCGAGAATTTGTGTTTTATTAGAATTGATACAGTACACTCAAGCATTTTTTTTAAATTTTTACATATTTTGTAAGATGGGATTTTTGGGTTTTGTAATTTTAAAAAACGCCAAATAAAATGGATCCCTTTTTGCGAAAATCGAGAAATCTGTGTTTCGAATTTAAGAACTAATTTGTACTCTGAATCATTGCTTCTGTGAAAAATCTGTTTTTGAAATTCGAATTTTCATTCATTTCCGATTTTTGGACTGTAATACAAGCCAAACGAAGTGCATTCCTAGCGAAATTTAAGAAATGATTTGGTCGAGGATGCATAATTTTTACATACGACAACCAATTGGTCTCAGATTTACCTACGCATGCCTTTAGTGGTGCCAAGTAAAATTATTGAGGGGGGGGGGGGGTGATAACAACGTTCTACCCTTCATGGTATTCTCATTAAAATAAATTGGTCTGTACAAACTATAACTTTCTCTTTTTCGAGATCAGTGGGTGACGGGGCCGGAGGAAGGCGCGGGGTGGGAGTGAGGGTAGAAATTAATGTCATCTTTCATGGTATTCTAATTAAAGGTCTCAACGAAGGGAACCTGTTTCTATCAACTACCGCCCTACTTTCTTACCCCTTATCACAAGCCGGGGTTGGAGAAGGGGGGGGGGGAGTGAAACTGGTTATATCCTTCATGGTATTCTAATGAAAGGTCTCAACGAAAGAAATTAATTTCTACCAACCTACCAACCATAGTCCTCCTCGACCCCTTATTGTGATCGGATATATTCCCTTATATCTCCAGAACGGATTGTCAGAAGAGGGTACTCACAAAGGGCGATTGGGACGTCTGGAAGAAATATATCCATTCGTGATTTCAAAACTTTAAGAGCGAATATCTGGAAAACGGTTTGTCGGAGGGAAGTACTCTCAAAGGCAAAATGAATCGACTGGACGAGACATATCTACTGGTGAAGTCGAAGCATATACCTTGACAACGAAGTGTCGGAAGAGGGTACTCTTAAAGGGAAGTGGAACGTCAGGACGAGACATTTCTATTAGTAATGTCAAACCAAATATCTGCAAAATGGTTGGATTTTGCCATGCGGCCTTTAAATGTTTATATGTGTAAAGGGCCTTCTCCCCATTAATCATCTACCAAGAAAGTAAACATGGATGGCATGCTACTACCTTATAAGTATAACCCAACCAAACACTAACACAAGAGTTGTGCACATTTTATACTTGTTTATTTTGACTTTACACTTTGTTTCATCTCTATCTAACCCATGCGAAGAAAAAGACATAAGTTTTGCAGTGGGCGGCTACCTGCGACTGTTTTTAAACTAGACGACGTATAATAATATAATAATCGGCCGTTTTATCGCCTAAAACATACATTTCTGGATGCTGTACCCACAATGAATAGGGCTCATCTACAAGACAACCTGAACCGACGCTTGCGCTTAGTCTACATCTATCATATTCCCCTTGTAAGTACTCTCTTCCGTGTTGTAGATAATCGGATTTGAAGTTTGCTTTTATTAGAAAGAGGCGACAAAAATATCCAGTAAGAAAGTTAGTTCCGCACATTCGCGCACACACTCAACTTTTGATATGTTAGTCGTAAGAAATCGACTTGCAAGGAGTCATTAGCTCATCGCTCCAGAAACGATTCAGTAAATGTTTCATCATTTTTTTGGAGTTTTCCCGAAACAGGTTGGAATTTTCAAGGAGTAATGATCTTAAAATCATTAAGGGGTTGTATACCACTAACCCTTCGGTCGTTCGGGCGCCTTTTAGAAATTGCTCGAGATGGCCACTAACGGAACATCGTATACCCTTCAGGTTTTCGCTATTAAATTTGTACATTTTGGGATAATTTGACCATATCTGTCAAAATCGTTATGTTAATCAATTTCGTTGGGGAAACGTCAGAACGCATTAATTAAATGCCTAAGAAGTGAATTGCATACATAAATGTAATCTTTTGAGCAAAAGATATCATACTTTTTATTCAAACATGAATTTCGTTGTAGAACACATTATTTACGAGCTCCCAGCGAGTATATAGTTTTGATGTGTCTGTCTGTCCGTTTGTCCGTTACCACGATATCTCGATAACGAATGGTCCGATTACGATGAAACTTTGTAGGTGGATGGATTCTTTATCAAATTTGTAGATCGGAGTTCGTGAATTGGCTGGGTAGAGCAAAAAATAAAGAAAG